CGATATGTGATATGATGATAACTGAGATTCAGTTCACAGTAAATTAGACCTGTATTTCAAAATCTTCTGCCACTGCTGTGCGACACACAGCCTTGTACTCAAAACAAAACTACCGTATGCATGCCTTTGCATACTGAGCTGGTGGTGACACAAGAGATGTGAAATGAGAGCTGTTGAGCAAGAATGTTTTGCGAGTCCTTGTCATAGGCTGGAAGGTTGAGGGCTTTTCAGTTTAGTCTTTATGTCTGTTTTGATTTCCCTCCCATACGAGGTCAAGAGGATTACACAAGCTGGATTTTGATTGCTAGGACTTTTTGACTCTGCTCCGCTCAGAATGTGAGGATATTTTAGGCATCCTGACGTAACAAGATGCCAAAGGGTTTCACCGGCCCCCTGTGCCAGACATTCTCAGGGAAACAACAATTTATCCGTTATTCTGTTTAAAGGGGCTTGACAAAATCTAGTAATGGAAGATCAACGTGAGGTGCTGTTGACTGTTCTGGTGCTTGTTGCATTTCCAAAAGTGTGGTTGTGTGTTGTTGGAAGCAGCTCAACAACTATCATTCATTCAGACACATGAAGTATCATGCAACCAGTGTCCTGTCCTGAATCTCTCGTTACATATCCTAACAACATTTAATACACTGTCCTTTTGGGATTAATCAATCACATTCACAAACCAAAAAATACAACAAGGGCACAGACTTTAAGCCATATGGGCATAAAAATTAACTCTACGATAAATTCAACTCTGCCACAAGCATATACTTCAGTAATCTTTGTTGTATGTAAGGAAACGAAGGACGTCACCTAAGTGGCACAGATTATGTGGCATGCAGTTGCAGGGGCAGCATGGTTTAGGGTTGTAGCTATTTATAGCTGTGCACATGTGCTTTGCTGCTTTGCTGAGGTCTACAAATAAGTGTCTCAGGAGCTTGGGCTGTCTGTTTGAATGCTGTGGTGGACTATTGGCTAGCACTGTGCTCAGACTGTAGACAGGGCACACTCAGGTCACAAAACAATGTGCACACCTTGGAATTGTATACAAGACTGGGTGTGGGTGTGTTTAGATTTTAGAAGACTGTACACTAAATCATTACTACTTAATTACTACCTGTTTAACTTCCTCTCACCGTGTACATTTGCACTTCTGAAGGAGGCTTTAACAGTAATTTTTCTAGGCAGTGCCTAAGGTTTTAAATGTCATAAAGTTCAAATGTAATGTGAGAGAGAGAGAGGTGGTTAGTCAGGCTTTCGTGATCCTTCAAATATTAATCCATTAAAGTCAAAGTTCATAAGTTGTCGGTTAACACATTTCTAAACGGTTCCCAGACCTCTGATCTACCTGAATTTAAAGTGATTTCCAAATACTTAAAGGACTGTTTTCAGTAAAATGACATACTGTATGTAGCTCTAGTTGTCATCATGTGTCACAGTTTGGACGCTTTTCCCTGTATAAGCAAACCTTTACAATGAAATAATATCATGCATGTACTGTCATCGAGTTTAACATGATGTGTTAATGTGATCATTGAAGACTTCTCCTGAGTATCACACCAGAGCCAAAAAATTTGATTACTCAGTCACTGTTTAATTTACACATCAGCTATGTGCTATTTAGTGACCATGTCTTTGTTACACACTTTTGCATTGACTTTTTTTTATAGTTTCACTATGGGATTTTCCACTCAAACCTAAAATAATTGAAACTAGTCCGTAAATTGCAAACTTGCTAGTTTGTTGCATAATTATCTTTACAGGGATGTTTTGGCTAGAGCTGGTGAAACTAAATGGGTAATTTGGTGTGGCTGTATGAGGAAAACGTGTGTATGCATGTATGAAACAAACCTGAACAATGAGCCAGGATACTGATTCAGCTTTTAAGTAATAAAAAAAACCCCACACATTTGCATGATCAGCTGTATTATTAAAGCAGCACTGTACTGTAGTACTGTAGAAGTTTTACATAAGAAAGTCAGTTCTGTGTGAAATAGAATCCAAGAATATAGAAAAATCTGGACAGAATTGATTAGATTTAATGAGACTGATTAAGCTTATAAAGTTCAACATCAGGTGAATGAGTGTATGATCATATTTCATCTGATATTCTTATTGTCATTGTTGGGACAGAGCTTGTTTGTTTTCCCTTTGATATCTGATCTTATCTTTACTACTGCTTTCTTGTTATGGCCAAATCATGTACGACTACTGTTTTAAAGGTGGGAAAATGTATTATCTTTTGGACTGATTTCAAACCTTTTTATTCTCATTAAGATCCTCAAGAGGGCACCATACTGTTAAACACGCCTTCCTTGTTTGGGAAGCACAGGTACAGACATAGTTATCTCATAGCATATTCAAACATACTCCCTAGTTCTGTTTCATACTACTAGTATTTAAGCACTTCAACATGAAGTGCAGAGATCATGAAAACTGGTGTTCACACCACCCGACAGTGGTTGATGTTTATCTGAGTCTATTAAGCATGCCTGTTATCAGTAATCTGTGCAGTATGTGAAGTACAGTAGTTCATTTTCTGACCATGTCTGACAGCTGGTTCAGCTCCTGTCCTTTGCTTTGAGAGTTTCCTGGAATACTTGCTCAGCCAATCTATATTAATGAGTTTCTCAGGAGGGGTTTATATATTATGCAGCAAAGAGCTTAGATATGGGCATTACAAACCAATTTGGTGTCCTACTGCAGGCTGCACTGCTTTATTTCTCAGCTGTGGAGTCACAGGGACAGAGCAGCAGTGACACAGCAGTACTGCTAGTAAATGCCTCTCAATGCATCACACTTTCAATATGAAGACAGGCGAGTTGCCTTATTTCTAAGGATTATTTTATTATTAAATGTTTTAGTCAGACTCTGATAGACTGATTTGCGGCTTCTTTTATTTGATGATTGGCTTCATGTCAGGCTTTGCTCTAGATGTGTAGACCATCATACAAAGTAACTGTCAGATCAACCCACTTTTCAATTCTCCGCAGCTTTTACACATGCACTATTTTTAGATGAACTAAATGTAAGAATCTTCAGAGAGTGTAGTCACGGGACTCTTAAGGTACCCCTGTTGTCCTGGAAAAGCATGTTACAGGCTTTATGATAATTTGAAAGCCTACAGTGTGTTAGAATGACCAGTGTCAGCTTTTTATACCACAAACTTCAAATGCACGGAACATCATGTCATTAAAAGCTGAGATAATGTAACAGACATATTATGTCCGCTGAGAGCAGTTTGTCCTTTCTTATCCTCAGTATAGTAAAACAAATGGAAAATGCCACCTAAACAGCAACGTCAATGAAGAGACAGCTCCTCCTTTTTGGTATTTTTCATGTCGTGTGATGAAGGGTTTTTGATTGTTTTCCTGGATGTGTTCTCAGTTGTTTCTGCTGCTGTAAACATTGTGGTCAGTCTTGGCAGCAGCACAATAGAGTGAATGATTATCTGAAAACTTTTGCACACTTGAACATTTAAAGATTAAAGTTGTTATAGATCGAGCTACATGTGATAAGATATTTGCAATAATAAATTGACGCATGCTGTCAGGAGAAATGATGGTACATTGCTTGTAAATTGCAGCTTAAATAAACTGGTTGTATCCTGCCGTAGTAGAGTTGGAACCACGCGGAAACATGTTGACAAGGAACTTTTCTTTCCTTTTTTTTTAATAACAAGCGCCGATTTCTTCTGTGGTTTTGAGGGGCGCTGCTGCTAGATAAACACTTAACCGCGTGGAAACTCAAAATAGTAGCCATGGAAAACCTGACAGGACTCGTTCTGGATGCTTGATGAGAAAGGGAGTCACGGCTGCCCTAGAGGCTGGTAGGCAGGCAGGGAAGAAGAGGGAGACTGTTGCAGCTTCCTCAGTCGCATATCCACATGGCATCTGCCTACCTGAACCACGATCATCTCGACAGCCCACAGGAGCTAGTGCACAGGATGAAGTACCAGTTTAAGACCGAGAGGGAGCATAGAGCTCACCTGGTAACTCTAATGTGCTGCATGGGTCAGTATTAATCTTACTGCTTCTTGTCATTTCTTTGAAAGGTTAGTCATGTCTGTGCTTGCTCATTACTCATAGTAGGTAAAATATCCTTGAGCAAAACTGAGTATTGTTAAGGGGAGGTTGTTATCTGTGTTTTAAGTTCTGTGCTCAGAGTTCAGGAAAAGGCTGATTTTTCCACAGTGTTGTTGTGGATAAACGGAGAAGCATTGATTGTACGTGTGAGTCTCTTGGTGTTCACTGAGAATGCTTTAGAGGAGTTGTGTCTGGCTGACTGGGAGAGGTGGAAGCAGTGAAATGAGTCACGGCTGTGGTGACTGGCTCGAATCCTGCTCTGCTCTGGCATAGAAGGATAGAGGACAATCTTAAAGAAAAATACAGCAAGAAAAAGTACATTAGTGTTAGTTGAAGTTGTTCGTGATGTTGATGAGAAAACGTTATAACTCAAGTGGGATTTTTCTTTTTCTTTAGTAGAGAAAGGAATTGATTTTGTGAAAGATTTATATCGGTTTCCTTTTCCTTTTTAATTGCATCCATTTGGGTCCTGGTTTCACATATGTCTCTGTCTGCAAAAAAAGCTCTGGTTGCTATGGTGATTGGAAACAAAAAACATACTGTGGTCAAGGGCATGCAGGAGAGAGTGATGTCATCTCAGCCAGCGGGAAATGACATCCTTCTTTTAGCCACTGGGACTTGTGGTCTTCATATGTCTTTACTTTTCTACAAGGCTTTCATTGAAACTCCCAAAATAACAACAAGAAGCAAAAGATTAAGCTGCAGAAATGAGCTGCTAAATGCTTTAAAACTGAAGTGAGTTACCACTAAACGTAATACAACCCAACAGGCCACATAACAAGCGTATACAAAGCAGAATTAGGCTTGTCTAATGACAGCCTTCTTTAAAAGAGATTTGTGTTGCCCAAACACATCTATGATGGCTACTTTGTTGTGTGAAAAAAATCACAGGATGCTCTTTTTCTTCTTCCTCCGCAGATGAAAGAGACAGAGTGCAGAAGAAGACATTTACAAAATGGATAAATCAGCATCTGGTGAAGGTAAGAACGTATGTGTTGTGTTGACATGGTAACTACATTCAATAATACAGAGGTGAAACCTAAATAATAGTTAAAATTCCCATTTTTTCCCCCCATAACAATCAGCAAACCATATTCCTCCAGCATAAACAATCCATTAGAGAAGGATTGGCAGTAATAACAATTAGGCCTCTCTGCGTTAAGTCCTAACATGCTAACATTCCTATTCAGATATTATTAAGGCTTGTTAAAAGTCATTTAGCATGACATTTGCTGTTCCACTGCTGCAAGAACAGGTTGTCTTTTGTTGATTCAGGAATTTGAATCGCTTACTGTGGCGTTTTTATCTGTTTGTGGAATTTAATGAAACACTTAGCAGAAAGACAAGCACCGGCATGTCTCATATCTAATAAGGCTTTGTAAAAATGAGTCACTACCTGAGATTTATGCGTGAAGTTTTACTTTACAGGGTTCATGCATCAGTGTTACATGAATCACTATCACTATAAATCACGCTAATTTCTGTTATGCAAGGCATAAACATGTAGTTCTGTGGTGTATTCATTAAGAGGATATCCTTTGATGATCCCCGACTTCTACCCTAACGTCACTTTGTGGATGACAGTTGTGGTTCTCAACAACTATTGGATGGATTGCCTTAAAATCTGGCACACACATTTATGTCCCTCTTAGCATGAAATGTAATATCCTCGGTGATCCTTCCTCTGGCTTTTTTATCTAGCACTATCATCACATAATAATTTCAATTAGTACAATACATTGGTTTCATACCTGCTAAACTGATGATATAGCCACAGCTCCACTTTATATTTAGTGCTAATTAGCAAATGCTAGCATGCTAACAGACTAAACTTACATTGTAAATAATCTAAACATTACATCTGCTAAACATTAGCATGTTAGCATGCTGACATTAGCCCTAAGCCCAAATAGAAAAAAAGAAGAATTGCAATTAAAGACTTACATTATTACATGGCTGTTGGGTCACTTTTCCCCTACCATGCTGTATTTATTGTTTCGCTCCTAAGGGGGTTTTGTGTTCTTTGATCGTCATCTTCACAACCTGGGTTAGGCCATAAACCTGTCCTAAAGGGTCAATTTAAGGTTCCTGCCAATTAGACCAGTCCATGCTATGGGATAAGGCTTCCCATGGATCAGTGGTGATGACTGGTTTTATGATCGCCTGTGTGTGATGTTTTCAAACAGGAATGCATTTATTGTTTCTAATAAGAATATTATTAGAAAGATGTGTGAGGGCCTTAGGAGCTGCTGGTTACAGCTGTGCTTTTAGGAAGTGCTGTTTCATGAGAGACGCATTATGTAAACTTTGTTACAATCTTGGCAGGAGAAAGAAGGAAATGCTATTTTATCTCTAAAGTACTGCAATACAACATGCAGTGAAGCTGCAGAGAGTAACAGCAATGTGTATACAAACAACAGGCTCTGTCCTGTAGCTGCATGAACCTGTTGATCTTGAGTTAATGGTTTAATCGGAATATTTGCGTTTTACTTCATGTTTTGACAGCCAGATTTCAGCAGGCCTCTCACATAGTGCATGAGAAATCCGGGGTGCTGAGTAATAGTTGGGGATCTGGTCAGCTGACCCAATAACATAAGGGTGCAGGTCTATTTTGGCTCCACAGCTGTGGCTGCTATCTGGGATTACAGTGCTGAAAGCCCTGTGTGAAAGCAGGTCAGCGGGCAGCAGGGTGATTTCAGAGGCGTGGTATTTAGGACAGGAAGGAGAGATGGGTCTGCTGGAAGGAGAAAGCCTCCTACCCGAGTTGTTAAGTGCCTCACTCAAGTGCTTAGATAACGTGTCACAATGACGTCCTGCTCAGGTTATTATTCAGTGTTTTATGATACATTCATTTCGGTTTAGAGGGAACTGTGAGGAAAACCAACACATAAACAAGTTTGTGAACTAAAACAGGTTTGCAGCTCTTAAACTGAAACTGAACACCAGTTTGATTGAGTGGCATGAGGAAGGCACGGCAAGCACAAAGCTTGAGTCGTAATTATGTCAGGTGTAAGAATGCGGGAGACTTTAATGGTTCCTGTTACAATCCTAAAACTTCTGTTCTTTGGAAAATGCAATTATTATGGTTTAATAACTGCAGAGAGATTTCAAAACGATACCAATTTTGTGCAGTAGTTCTATAACTATATTTGTTACAGTGAACAGCCATCAATGAACAGTAATAACAATATGATGTTTGCAATTTGCTCACATTTTGCTTTCCTCTTCTCGTCCGTAGGTACGGAAGCACATAAATGACCTGTATGAAGACTTACGAGATGGACATAACCTGATCTCACTGCTGGAGGTTTTGTCAGGAGACACATTGGTGAGTTCTTCTGTTATCTTTGTGCTTAGTTTTTTCCTGAAGAGATAAAGAGAAACTCAGCAAAATCAAAGTTATGAAACTCTGACCCTATTTCTACTACACGTGGAATTGAGTGTTTTGTGAAACTATTGAGTTCTCAGAGCCATTTCTATTAAGATCTTATGAAAAACCATTCAGATTGTCATAAGGGAAGTCAGAAATATATTCCTCTTCCTTTAGAGCAATCTATTACACCTTTGCGTGACTGATGCTGTTGTCCTCCTTCACACTTATGTAACTGATGGTAGGAGGGAATCCTGGGATTTGATGGTCTCTAATCAGATCTGCTGTGATTCTGAATCCACCAAAGCTCATAATGTCACATTTATTTGTGAGTTGTATTCAGGTTTCGAACATTTCCTTTTTTTTGCTTCTTTTTCCTTTTCCTTTCTGGGATATCTATGAAACAGACTGATGTGCTCATCATTGTGAGTAATTGTGCTGGGCTACTAGATGTAAGTCATATGAAATAGGCTGGTACAGTATGTCTTGCTTTACATGGGATGGATCACTTGACAGTAGTAATAGTAATACACAAGAACCAACATACCTGAGTGGTATATAAAATATGGTGATTACCCACAACAAAATGTAAGAATATATCAAGGAAAAGCTAGCAAGTAGTAAAACTAGTTTTCTGGTTGTCCCCTGGAGTTAGGCAGCCAATAATCAGCCATTAACAATATTTAACTTGCTAACATGCCTTTTTTTTTAATGCACTAACTCCCGAAGGCTACCTTTTATTCTGTATTCTTTATTTGGATCCTCATTAGCTTCCACAAAGTGGCCACTAGTCTTCCTGGGGGTCCATACAAAAGCAATAACAGTAAAAACAAATAATTCAAAATCAGATCAATAAAAGAGGAAAAGCCAAAACAAGCCAAATATGAAGATTAGAAAATAAGTAAAATGACTCTATTCTAATAGAAATAAATAGCAACAAAAAGAAGATAAAAAGAATACAAAAGTTTTGAAGCAGCAATAACTAAAGTAGAGATTATTATTCATTTTTTGTTTTAGTGAGTTTTTATAAGAAAATCTGATATTGGTGAGCAACACACATTCAACATAATAAATTCGGTAAAGAACTGTTGTCATTATACATTTTGTTTTGCTCACTTGACATGTATACAACAAAAAGCATTTTTTTCAGAAAAGTAAGTGTGTGTATATTTGAGTGACAGAATGCATGAGTAACAGAATATTTTAATTTAGCCTCCACAGTACGCCGTGATAATCGTTCAGGCATCAGACACACATGAAGAAATAATCTGGCTGCTCTGTTCTGTGCAGTTTGAAGTTTTTGTAGATGTTTCTTTGCAGCACTTGACTGGGCAGCACTCCAGGTGTGACAGAATGAGTAACCCAACAACGTCAATCATAACAGAAGATGGAACATATGCAGAACATTTCCTTGAAATTGCAATTCGCTTTCGTATCACAGAAACAGTGTAATCAATCTGATCAGTCCAAGACTTGAAAATATTAACACTAATAGGAAAAACATTACAACACCTGACACATAGCCAACATTTTCATTTTTTGTGAAATTGCTATTTGATTGAATAATATTACAACCGTGAGCAGTGTTGTTGTGAGTCCAATCACTGCAACAGTATAATCAATTTCCACTCTTTCAAAACTTGGAATGACCAGGAAATGACATAGAGAGTGTTTCATATTTGTGGAATTTATTTAACCACAAATATGAAAGTGTACTTGTACAGTGTTAATCCAGGAGCCAAATAGGTTCATTTCCAGCTGTTATTCAACCAAAAAGTTAAAATAGCCAAATGTGGAAAGAAACATAGTATTTTTTTTATATTATAAAATAGTAATAATAGTTTCTTGATGCACCACATTTGGAAACACTGTAATGCAAAACTGAGAGGTTTAAATGGAGTTACTCTGTAATATTGTTCGTAAATGATGTTTAAACCAGAAATAGGTTTTCATTTTTAGTCTTTGGTTTATGGCCTTGTTACAGCAGTACAGTGCCTTTATGTAGAAATCACAAGGACTCAGATTCTGTGTAGTTCAGAATGTATTTGTGTCTAATCCCTCCCTTATAGAGCACATAGCTGCATAGTGTACGTAGCTGTAGTACTTGGACCTAAGACAGTGGCTACTGAAGGGCTGCATGTTATCCAACAGTTGTTGCTATTCGCAGTATTATTTCATTTCTCTGTTAACGTGTCATTCTTTCATCTTATACTGAAGTTTGTTAATACAGTCTTTGTTCAGTTCCATAATGTTATCATGCTGTAATGTCCCTTACTGTATTAAAACTGCATGTATTCCTGTGCAAGGAGCCCCAGCAGTTCCTCCCTCTCCAGTGTGACTAACTTTCATCCTCTAAGTGGCTATCTATTTTCTGTTTACATCCTGTTTCCTTTCTACTTTCCCCCTCTTCTGTTCTCCTCTCTTTAATTGGTTTCTGTCCATTGTCTAACTTCCTTTGATTTGGCCGCCATGTGTGTCCATGTCTTCCTTTCTTCCCCATGTGTTGCCTTTTCGGTGATAAGCCAAGGGAGCGTGATTTTCTGAAGACATTGCGGTTGGTGAGTGGGACAGAAGCATGTGCAGTTGAGCAGCATGGAGACACGATGGATGATGATAAGGGGGTACGTGTGGCTTGCCCCCCCCACCCCCCTTTTAACAAACTAATTCAGAGCGTGTTGTGGCCAGTTAACAGGAGTGTAGAAACAATCCCACTGTATGATTTGTCTTTTTCTAGTCTTACACAATTGCTTTAGCAGACACTGTAGTTCTTCTATATGATGATAGAATGATATTCCCCCTTTCTCAATTTAGCTAAATTTGTGATTTCTATGCAACATTATGTTTAATAATGCCACTTCTTTTGATCAAGAAATAAAATATGTCCAAATCTTTGTTTACATGATCAGATGAATCCGATGATGCAGAGAAACGTGCACATGATCTAAAGACCCAGGCCTCTCCATGCCAATCACAAATTTTCTTTTAGAACATAAATGTGAAAAAAAAAAAAAGAGAAACCAATAAACCTGGCACACCAACCTTGCCTGATATCAGACAGAATTGTCAACTCGTTAACTCGGTGGAATGGGCAGATTTGAAGGGTCTAGACCCAGGCAAACACTGACCTTGCAAAGCCATTAAAAATGAAATTGACCATAAAGCTTGGGTCTTTATATCCATTTCACTGGCTTTGGCCATACAATCAAAGCACCTCGAACCCTCGTGAGCATCAGGACATTTTTCATCTGCTGCTTGTGGGTATTCTGCCATTTTGAATCCTCAGAAGGAGGCTTCATAGGTGAATGAGATTCACTGAATGACAGCCATGGGAGAGGGGTTATTTAAATGTTGCTGCTTTGCTATTGAGATGAGCGGGATTCTTCTCTCAACTATTATCAACTAAGAAATATGGCTGAACGCAGCACAAGTCTTTCGCTGCTTCTGCACCCTGGCTTCCATGCATTTTCCATTACATTACCTCATGCTGTGGCCCCGGACTGTCCACGTGCACTTGCCACAAGAGATCGTGTACTTGCTCGAAGAATACAGCATTCGGCTGTTATTTATAAAAAAGAAAATACATTTAGTGCCTACAGCACAGCAAACCAAAGCATTGTGGTGTTTTATGTACACTTTAGCTGTTAAAATGTGTTAACTAGCAGGGCTACTGGGTTTGGTATTACATGGAAAGAGCACATTTCTAGAGATGCAAATGGTGGAAAATGTTCTGTACATGCACAGATTTTGAGTGGGCCTGCAGAAATGGCTACTCCTGTTGTGGGTAGAGTATTTTTTTGTGTGTTCTTTTAAGTCTTTACCTCACCAGAGCAGCGGGTAAGAACCTGGAAGCATGTCCTGTGTCCTTCATGCTACTAATCTTTTTTTTTTAATTGTCATCTGTTGTTGGTGAAGAATCTAATTATTATACATGGCTCCTTTTTCCCTCTTTATGTCCACAGCCTCGGGAGAGAGGGAGGATGCGGTTCCACAGACTCCAGAATGTACAAATAGCACTGGATTATTTAAAGAGGCGGCAGGTACGGATCTGTAAAAGTACATTCTCAAGAAATGTTCCTGCTTTTCCTGTCCTCTCATGGATTCATCGCAGCATCTCAAAACTGAAAGTCCACATAATTAAGTCACACTTTTATATAATTCCGTATAGTCAATTATAGAGTTGTAAGAAAATACATAAAAATATTGTATTGCAATATTTTGTTATGTGATATTATATTGTTCCTCAAAAACACTGTATTGATTCTTGTACCCCGAAACACTAGACAGCTGTATTATGTGCATATGGTGGTGTTTTCTTCATACTATGTTTTCCTAAAATTTGATTTCTCTTCCCAAAAAATGCAATATATCACCCTACTTACAGTATCACATACTTACCATCTTACAATATATTGAATCATAACCCCTTTTTAGGGGTGCATATCATATCACCAGTTTTTTGCAAATAGCCCTAGTGAATTACATAAAAGGTGGTTACAGCGTAATAGCATATGTAAATGTATCAGTCCGTGTGCTGTTGGATTGTATTTTGCAGCTACATTGTGAGAGATTTGTTCACTTGTACACTGAGGTGAACAAATGCAATCAAAGGCGCACGTGTAATTGAACTGGGACAGCCACACTCAGTGGTGATTACTTCGACGCCGCCTATTCTCCAACATCACACACACAGACTGCTGGACATTTTCCATCTTTCTTTATGGAATTTACAATTCGGTTGCCACAAATTGTAATAGCAGCAGTTAAGGGGTGCTGACTACAGATCCCATCAGCGGGGTTTCAAAGAGCTTTGATTGGCCTCCCCTCCCCCACTACGGTCAGGATGTGATGAAGAACACAGCCTTGCTGAGCTGTAGCCAGATGTGACGTAAGGCTTGAGACAAAGGATTCATAGATGGTCACAAATGAATTGTTCTATTGTTTTGACTACAGTACATAACAGACACATCCATGCAGCCTCTGTAGTCATTAATGTAAAACGATCTCACCGTTTAACCTTCCTTAAATCTCCCCCTGCAGCTTATTGAATACAGCTTTTACAGATGATCAGGCTGGTCCTGCATCATAGCTCCATTAAAACAAGAATGTATTCAGACTCTGCTTTCTGATGAATGTTTGTGAATTTATTAAAATACACATCGTTTTTCACTCTAATATGTGGTAGATAAAAAAGTCTTAGCAGGTTTATAGCATTTAATTAGTAGCAAGCAGTCATTCTCTCTGTCAGCTCAGACCCATGTGATTACGGTAACAGTTCCCTGGCATAATATATTGACTATTGTGCCACCTTGTGGTGTTTGTAGACTGACTGGCAAGCCTGTCAAAATAGACCCTTACACTAATATTTTGCACTTGATTAATACACCAACTAAATCTATTTAGGAACTCTAGAGCAGGGTTTGGACACGTAGAGGTATTGTCAGTATGCAATATATCAATCATGTGTTTCCTCTCATCAGGTCAAACTTGTAAATATCAGGAATGACGACATCACAGACGGTAACCCAAAACTGACCCTGGGATTGATCTGGACCATAATTCTGCACTTTCAAGTGAGTGTTTGCATTCTATGGTCATTCTTTTGCTTTTGATAGCCAAGTAATTAAGATTATTTATTACCCAGATAGTGATAGGATTAATACTTACTTTATGTTCCTTGTATTACATGTAAGCAATGACTTTGAACTGATAAGGGCTGTTAATTTTAAACTTGTATGTATCTTTACATGCTGCTCGATGTTGATCTGCTGCATATGTTAGATATTTAAATGCAGAGGATTTTCAATGCTGCTACCTTTGTCTTTGTGGAGTTTAAAGATATTTCAGTCCAACAGAAATGCTGGCATGTTTTGGGATTGATTTATGCAATAGCTTGGCAACTGCCCTTCCAGATTATTGCTTTTAAAATGAGTTCACACCCTCAGGCACCTACCCAATGGATGTTTCGACATTTGACCACAAGGTGTCAAAGCTGTGCAGCATAAATAATGACGAATATGGTGTAATATGTGATGTTAGGGTTTACCTGGCTTGTTCATGTTGGATTCAGCTTGAGTTGTAGTCTCTAATAGCAGAAATGTCTTGGTATTCAACATGAAACATGGACAATGTCCTTGCACGCAAGTTATAACAAGTCTATGTTTGAATACAGGGGAAAATGCCTTGTAGTTTTGATTTGTCTGTCCAATTCATGACATTTAAATGACCTTACAAAAACCTTTGCTGTTTGGAGAGTTGAGATGGTTTTCAAGATTTTTTGTGCTCCAGGCTGAGTTTATTTCTCTCCCTGAATGTTCTTAAAAATGTTCTCTCTGGGGATGTTTCTTATTTTATTGCTGGAGTGACACAAATCATGTCAAGTGGGGTGGTCTGTGTGTACATGCCAGGTATGTATTTACAGTATCTATCCAAAATCCATAATTTCTCACTCATGCTCCCTCTTTCTTTCTCCCTCTGTCCCCTTCTCTCCCTCTCTCTGACTGTCTTGTATTGCATTATTAATATCCTTGGCCCTTGCTACATGACTCAGTTGTTTGTTGGGGACAGGGGTACTGCAATAGTCTTTCAGACTTGCAGCTTCGTAGTGACTTAGTATGTTATTTTAGAACAAGAATGCATCTGTATGACTAATGCCCTCAACGTAATAATGAGGGAAAAAGTAGTTAATATAGTTTTGCCTGGACTCAAACATGCTGACAGCTAGCGTCGGAGATGATGCCAACACCTGCTAGTGTCAGTCTCACGCAAGCCCTTGAGCACTTAAACCAGCAGCAATGGGCCTGTTTCTTCTTGATTTGGAAGGATAGCAGGGCACATCTGGAGAAAGTGTTGTGCTTTAGTTTTAGGATAGACCTTTGCCTTATAAAAGCACGGCTGACAGCAGGCTGACAACATGAATTGAACACTGTTTTTATATTACATGGTTTTATATGACTGTCTTTTTCTAAAGCATCCAGGATCAGTTCCTGTGTCAACAACAGGTGTGGTTTTTGGGACTTACTTTACGTGCTTTTCTTACTGCTGCAGGCTATTTCTTTAATACTAACTTATATAAACTGAGAGTACTGACAAGGTGTGTACCCTGTTATGTTTGACCCCAACCTGTTACGGTGTGTCAGACACAATCCATTGTTTGATCACGTCTGTAGGGATAAGAACTTGATTTCCTTACACAAAGCTGGCACTGTTATTGTATTGTTCACAATGGTTACCACACTCTGTTCTCACCTGGAACATGCCGTTGACAACACTAGAGTGCAATTTGTATTTTAGTTTAGCTGGTGTCAGTGTGCCACCATGACAATGCACTGCTGTCAGGTGTTTCTGTGCTTGTTTGTCTTGTCTGTTTATTTTGCCCTGATGGGCTGTCACTATGATGTGTCTGATGGTTCATTGCATTCCATTCATTCACTCTTATTAAAACTTTGTCACTGAAATAAAACATGTAGCAAGTAAGGCTATATAAGTCATAAAAATGCTATAAAGCCTAATTTTATTGAAAAATAGCATGATCTAATACTGCAGTAATACCAGTATTTGATAGTTAGACCATAACCTGGCCATATGTTGCAGTTGGAGTTATCAATACACTGTAGTTTGAACTGTGTTAGTTGTCAGGTGACTTTGACCTTCAGGGAAACTTCACTGGCATTTAAATATTGTAAGCTCACAGGGGCACACTGTTATTTTTAGTTGGGCTATATGGTGGCAATATATTTACTGTTTCACATGCTACATTTTTCTCCTTTTGCTATGTAATTAAAGTATTGATAGGTTCCCTCTACAGTGGGCTTGTTTCACATGCTAGCTGTTGTAATGGTTTTATATGGTGAATCACTTCCTTTGCTCGCTTGTGAACTGCGGCGGTGGTGATCTGCTCAGATAATAGTGTTTGTTTAAACCATTGGACTTAAGCCCCACCTCTGGCTCTGCCATTGTCCGTAGCTTGATTAATAGACAAAGTGAAAGCATGTTGTTGTCCAGCTCGGATTTGCCTCTGCTTCTGCTGCTCTCGTTGACCTACGCTGTTCTGTTTTTCAAAGCCTTTCTGACCGGCTGGGACTCTGTTCTGGTTCATGCAGCCAGACTTGCTGAGCCAAAGATTCTCACAGCATAATAGGTGGCCATCCCGTGTCCTCCCTTCACCCCTCATCACAGATACAAATATTAGGAAACCTAAGAGGCAGCTGTGACGTGCGCATGTTTACTGTGTAGACGAAGCAGACTAGCCAGCCCGAAACAGGTCTGTCCACAAGTCTTTTTCATGCTCAGCTGAGAGCTATAAGCACGTGTGCCACGTCTCTGTGTGCATTTATGGTGTTTCTGCTGGATTAGCAAAGCCAGGGAAATGTATCAAAGGTCAGAAAGGATTCCGGTGTCAGAGGAGAGACCCAAGAGAGAGCATGCAAGCAAGAGAGAAATGCAGTGAGGGAGAGAGAGGGAGAGGGAGAGGGAGAGAGAGAGTCTGACCAGATCTCAGCTGTGAGTCTCTGAGTCAATGAAAGGAAAAAGTCAACTCTGCCCTGAGTGGAGCTTTATCTCTGGCTGCCGGGTTGTCTGCCACTGCTTATTGTGTGCTCGTTGCACTGAGTGAAAATGGCTTTCTGTCAATGGGATAGTGGCTCTTCAGATCAAGCAGAGCTCACTGGATACTTTGCCTGAAAACAGCTCGCTGTTGGGAGTTCACTGTCAATGGGTGAGACTGTATGACCGTCAGCCATGGGAAACATCTGTGGCTGTGTCCGAGGGCCTAAAGAGGAATGCTATGTCGACCCCAAGAAGGCTCCACTGAGACCTGAATCTAAGGAATTGAAAGGCCGTCGCTATTTTCAGAGGAAGAAGAGGAAATCGGAGGCTTTCCAGCCTGTGGAATCTCTCAGGAGACCTGGAAGTGAGGCTGTTAATAGTGAGGCTATCTGCAGTAGCATAGAGCCTCAAGATGGCCCACATGGGAACCCAGAGAAGTCCCAAGCAGAGACCGATAAACCATCACAGGTGGAGACACATCTATCCAGACAAGAAAGCATCAGCAAGGGTGTCTATGTCGGAGAGGTACCAGTTTTAATCCTCAGAGATCCCTGTAATCAAATTGTTGGCAAGAGGCTAGCTTACAGGTTGGGAAGGCTTTCCACAGAGCAGACAGACAATGAAAGAAGCAGGTCCACTGCAGAAGGAAAGCTTCGTGGCATTAACACAACTTCCAGGGGTGCCTCAGCTAAGGAGGGTCTGCTTGTGAAGAAGCTTCTACAGCGTCAGTTAAGGAGGGCTGTTAGCTTTGGAGCAGTGGAGCACATGCTGCGGACTCTGAGGGGTAATGACAGACCTGGGAGTGAGGAAATGTTTGCCAAGATTATATGGGGCTCACAAGCACACAGGAGGAGGAGACGGAGGGCCCACAGCTGCTCTGGTTACGTAGAGCGTCTTCCGGCTCCTGCCAAATGTATTTCCACCCATCACGAGGTAAACTTATAACGTGTTATTTATAGCCATTTGGAGTGTGATTCGCGATAGATTAGTAAGGGTTTGATTGGGGTATAATGTAACTTGAACATTGCAGGGCTGGTGTTTAAATCATGTAAGTTGAAACACTTTGGAGAATAAATAGCTCAAATAAAGCAGTTCTTTAGAGCAACAGCAGTTCATTTTGTTAAAATAGTTTCCTAATTACTTAATTGTATACCCCATCAGTATGATGGTCAGCATCCCAGTCATTCTTGGACACACAATAAGTCAAAGATCATATGTTATAGGATGTATTTACACCACAGGCATCACCTGTACAGAGGATTATGTAACAGTACTTAAGCAGGATAACCAGATTTACCTGAAACTAATGTTAAAATATTTATGCTGCTCATCTGTACATAGAGACAGAAACAGTATGTTGACAGACACATATCCAATCAATAAACCAAATAAATTATACCCATATCCACATGTATAATGGAAAAGTGACCCTTGAAATTTTTTTTAATTTAAATTTGAAAGCTCATTGTAAGATCAGTTTTGGAGTGTCTCTTATCCTGTGTTTTTCAGATTTATTGGTTGGGCTTTGGTTTTGTTGAGTTCATTCAGAGCATGATTATGTCTTATTGTATTAATTAACTTAATCCCACTAGAACAGTTTCTTTTCTTTGATATTACAGTGATTACAGTGGGTCATTAAGAGGCTTAAGTGTGTGAAAGTAAATTATATTTATTAAGTCCACTGGTTCTCCAGTGGGTTGATGTCTGTTCCCACTTTATATTTTCTACATGAATGAATGCCAGACTTTGTATCAGAATTAAAAAATGTGCTGCTGATACAGTGACTGTCAGTCTTTAACAATAGCAGGGTTGTGGTGTAGCAGACTTTGTATTGTAGTAGCACTGTATAACAGTAATTCCTTCATCTTTGTGTTAAAAAAAAAAAAAAAAAGCAAAGCACAGGATTGTTGATTTCAGGAAATCTCTCCCTTGTTTAGCTTTAGCTGTTTTACAGCACTCTGAAATCACTCTGGTAGATAACTACAAATATCTTGAGACAGTTATTGGCAGCAAACTGTGATTTGAAACTAATTTTGTTTGAAAGAAAGCACAACAGTGTCTTTATTTTCTTAGAAAAATGAACTCTTTTAGGGTTATTATGGTCTTAAAATCTGCTTTATCCTTTTGCATTGTGGTGGGGTATGAAAACATTGGCCAGTTCTGTAGAAACAGACTGAAATGTCTTGTCAAAGTGTCCATTAAAATTCAGCTCTTTAACATTTATACATTTATGTGTTATTAAGAAGGTCAGATCATCCTTTTGTTTAAGGTTCCAGCTGGACTAAAAGGACAAAATCAGCCCTTGTTTTGGTGGCTGTGGGCCTGTTAAACTCCTGTCATACTCTGTCTGGACTGTAGAAATGTTCCAGGCAGTGGAAGTTATACATTAATCTGTATAGGCTGATCTGTGGGTGGGGGTTCTATCTTCTATCTTTACTTGTATCGGTGTTCATCTTGTCTGAGCTGCAGTGTTTTGTATGCCTGACTGTTACCGTCTCTGCTTTTCACTGCTGTTTTCATGACTGACGGCACCTGGCTGCAAATCCCCCCCTCGGGGGACAATAGAGGTTGATTGGTTGATTGATTGATTGAGGTTTATCTTGAAAAATGTACTCCCTGAGTCTCTCTGTTCTTGGTTGCTGTTTAAACCATGTTGTGATTTAACATTTTCTGTCATGTGGAAAATAGAAACATGCTTTCCGAGATGTATTGTGCCTTTCAACAGAATGATTTCCATCATATGGTGTTTCTGTAATTTTGGTTGTTTGGAATGTGTGTTACAGGAAAAAGTCTACAAAGGCTTAAATCAATATTACTGTGTGTGGTGTGGACTGTAGATGTAAACTATTGATGCCATGAATGTGCTTTCAACCCTGCATGCCAACAACACTGGAACTCAACCTGTCAAGTGGCACTGTTTGTTTGAGGTCATTTTAATCATCAGTATAACATGTTGTAAAACTATTGGGTAATTTATTACACAACTCTTTCTCACACTTCTGACCTGCTGACATTTTCCACAAAGTGTGAACAGATGCTAATGAAGCAGATAGGGAAACTTTCACCTCATTTACACCTAATTCATTCTTGAGTCTTGTGTTTTATGAAATAAATAACTAATTTTTTTTGTCTTTTTGTATAATACATACTATTTTTGTGATCTCTTTTTAATGCAGGTGTATTTCTAAGGCTGTAGCTTGTGGGGTTGTTATATTTGATTGCTTTATATTTTAAGGTGTTGCTGTTATTGTTACCTCTCAGTATAGTGAGGTCTTAATCTCGCAGCGTCATAATTCACTAATCACACAAATCAAAGTCTTTTATTTTACGTCTTTTATTTCTCTTTGTGACAGATCTCGGAGATCCACGTGACAGGGGAGTCCGAGGACATGACAGCCAAGGAGAGGCTGCTGCTCTGGTCCAAGCAGATAACAGAGGGCTATGTAGGCGTACGATGCGATAACTTCACAACCTCCTGGAGGGATGGGAGGCTATTAAACGCCATCATTCATAAATACAGGTACTGTAACAGTGAAGAAACAGGAGGGGTTTTTACAGAACAGTAAAGCTGAATAACACCTATATAATAGGCTGGTTTTACTGGTCTTCTGTCCTCTCTCCTTTAGTTAGTATGCCTTGTTTTTCATGCCTTACTGGTCTCTCTTTCTCTCTACCGCAGGCCGGACATGGTTGACATGAGCTATGTGTCGACACAGACCAACCGCTCAAATTTGGAGCATGCGTTTAGTGTAGCTGAGCAGCTGGGGGTGGCCAGACTGCTGGACCCTGAGGGTGAGATCCATACACACTGTCATATTCGTTTTTACTCAGAAACCTTTTCAACATTTTTGTGCTATAAATCATGTGGAGTGAAGCTTGGATTCTGTCTTGAGGAATAATTCTTCTGAGTACAGCTCGTTGTCATGTGTTGCATTTTTGACCCTTTTGGATTTTTTTCCCCTCATCAGACGTAGACGTTCAGTCTCCTGATGAAAAATCTGTCATCACGTACGTCTCAACACTGTACGATGCCTTTCCCAAAGTACCCGATGGTGTTGATGGAATCAGTCCTAATGTAAGTTGCTGACATCGGCCCACCAGTAACTCCACCCAATCCAAGTGCTGAAAAGTGATTTATGGCTGATGATCCTTTTTCTCTGAACAGGATGTTGATATCAAATGGGTGGAGTACCAGAACATGATCAAATACCTCAGCCAGTGGATCAAACACAATGTGGCCATAATGTCAGATAGATCATTCCCCAACAACCCTGTGGAACTCAAGGTATTGATTAATTGTTATTAGCTTTATTTTGCATAAGTCTCAGCTCTTGTGCTTAGAACCTGCATATAGTGTCAGTAAGGTGAAGGATAATTGTCTGCTTCAGATTGCCCACGTGCAGCGCATATCTGCTGTAACTGAGACTTAAAGTGATATTGATGGATATGAGAGAGCAGCAGCATCCATTTGCAGCAAGAAGTCAATAGGTTTTATCAGTGAAGGCACTTTTACACAGTTGTTTCAAAGACAAAGGGAGAATATGGACGTATCATGGAGTCATTTTTCCTGGTTGATGCTTTGTGGTGCAAGTGCAGAAAAACGACATTCTTATTTAATTTCTGCTTTCTTTCACAGGCACTTTATACACAGTATCTGCAGTTTAAAGAACATGAAATCCCACTGAAAGAGAACGAGAAGACAAAAATCAAGAATCTCTACAAAATGCTTGAGGTAAACAAACGCAAACCAGGATAGCACATTGCTTTGGTTTTTGTAGCCTTACACATTGTAGTGATAACAAGTCTGTGTTTGTGGTGTATCTGTCAGATGTGGATCGAGTTTGGACGTATTCAGTTACCCCAGGATCATCATCCTAATGATGTGGAGAAGGAATGGGGTAAATTAATTATTGCCATGCTGGAGAGAGAGAAGAGCCTGAGGCCTGAGGTGGAAAGGTATGTGCAGCCGTGGAACGTACTAATACTGTTTTGCCTGCCTTAACTAATGCGATTTAATATCTAATCTTTATAGTCTTTATAGCCTAATATTATGGGTTACTTGTCAGCCAAGAGTCAGCATTTAACAGTAACAGTATTTATGAGACACGTAGCTGGTGTTTGATAAGATAAAATGTGTGTTTGAGGGGAACATGCAAGGATTTAAAGCAAGAAATACTGATGTCTAAATGAAAAGCTTTTCATACAGTATATAGCTAAAGGAGCAAATGTGCTGCATGAGTCAGCATAACATTTTCTGAGGTTGGTGCAGGTAGAGTGCTCTAGCATCGTATTCAAGCCCACTAATGTCCCTGCTGAAACCAGACACTGAGGGTTAGTTTGGTTTTCCTTATTAAAGTAGAAATCCCCTCACTGAGCCGTTGCACATTGTGATATGATTTCTATCAACATATTTATTAGCTGTTCTGCACAATATTTCTCCATCAGATTTATAGCTGCCAGCATATGATAAGACTGAGTTTTGTTTTTGCTATTAACAGATGATTGAGTGAAAATAAGCAGCAAACAAATGAATCTTGTATACTAAAATAGTGTTTGTAATGTTCTGCTGTTCAGGAACAAAGTCATGTCTGATTGAGTATCTAGTTTCTTTAAAAAGGCAGAATCTTGCAAAATGCTTAGAAGACAGATCATCATCATTTCATGACATACGATGCTTCAGTGAAGATAGTTTCTGATATTTTAGAGTGATTGCTTTCTTATGGCATGCTCAGTCAAGTTTTTCAGCTCTATCTGGTGCTCCATCAGTGTTTGTTTGCAGTTGATTTTATTTCCATGGAAACTCAAATGTCATCTTTTAGACTTGTAAATTCTCTGTTGACAATAGTTAAGACAAGTTTACATCTCCATTCCTGCCTTCGTGGTCTATAAACACACCATATTTACAGCTTTAATGTTGGGTGTGGTGAAAACTGGCAGAAACAGAAGTTACAGCAGTTTGGCAGGGCTTTATACAGTCTCAGCTCGTAGAAAGGTGTACTGTCTCAACCTGCTATGTAATTTTTAGCCCCCAAGGGCAGCACATTATTCCAGGGTGGGATTCATCTTACACGCTCCTCACCTGGCTGCGGTGCTATAAATATGAGCGAGTTGAAAGCGGCTCTGTCAGTTAGCTCTGCAAATTCTCGAGGCCGGGATCCTTTCTGAGGGATGATCAGGATGACAAATGTCACAGTGATTGTTTGAGTGGCCGGGAATAGCAGCAGGAGCTTAACATGTAAAGGAAGATGGCCTATTTGAGCGGTATCTCATCTGTTAGCAACAGTAGCTTCACCAGTTTTGGCTCCAATGACACCATCCTCAGCGAGCCTTTACAAATTAACAGCTCAGTCTTTCTCAATAACAACATTGCCTATGGATCCAGGTGAGGCTGCAGTGTGCTTGGCTTTTGTTTTTATTGTAGTGATAACAACTTGTAAACTAACAATTTCATCTTTTTGTTTATGCAGGCTTGAAATGTTGCAGCAGATTGCCAACAGGGTCCAGCGGGACTGTGTTAATGGAGAGGACAAGCTGGCATTGGCAAGAACTGCCCTGCAGTCTGTAAGTTTTGTGCAAACTCTGTGGTATTTTATCACAACTTACATTAAGTAAGTGTACCTTCTTTGTCTTGAGATTTCAGTCGCTTTTTCTCCCCTCTAAGGATGCGAAACGTCTCGAGTCTGGTATTCAGTTCCTTAATGAGGCTGAGATTGCCGGCTACCTTTTGGAGTGTGAGAATATCCTCAGACAACAAGTGGTGGACATCCAGATTCTCCTGGACGGGAAATTCCCCTTTGCAGATCAACTTGTCCAAAGGTACAGACTATATCTTCTTGCAAGAAAAAACACGCTGAATTTGCATTAAAACATCTCATATCATTGTTCCTTTTTGTACACAGGGTATCAAAACTCCGGGATGAGCTCCTAGCCCTGAGAGCCGAGTGTTCGTCCGTGTACAGCAAAGGTCGCACCCTGACAACAGAGCAAACCAAAATGATGATCTCTGGCATCACACAAAGCCTCAACTCGGGCTTTTCGCAGAACATCAACACAAGCCTGACACCAGCCCTTACCCCTGCACTCACTCCGGGGGGGTTAGGCACCCCTGGGTCCACATTCACCTCTAGCCTTACACCATGCCTCACCCCGTCCTTGACCCCTGCCTTGACCCCTGGTTTGCAGCCCACTTCAGTCCAGAGCTACATGGGGAGTGGTGGTGGCATGGACCCGGGCAGCCTCAGGCAATTAAAACACATGCAGATCCGCAAGCCCTTACTCAAATCCTCACTGGCAGACTCCAACATGACAGAAGAGGAGGTCAACATGAAATTTGTTCAGGACCTCCTGAACTGGGTGGAAGAGATGCAGGTGAGTCGTCACCATCAGTTTGTTTGTAATGCGCTGTAGCTTTAATTGTAAAAGCAAGATACTGAATATTTGTTTTGGCTTCGTCTTAAAGTTGCAGCTGGATCGTTCAGAGTGGGGCTCTGATTTGCCAAGTGTGGAAATGCATTTAGAGAACCACAAAAGCGTACATAGAGCCATTGAAGATTTTCAGATGAGTCTTAAAGATGCCAAACTGAGTGAGGTAAGCATTTCTCTGTGTCTTGCATATAACCTTAGTTTAATATATATATGTATAAATATATATAATCTAAAACCGAAATGTTAGTTTGAAAGTTAGCTGCCATAACTTTCTGCAGAAGAAACTAAAATAAACCAAAACATGTTTCTATTCTTTTCTCAGATTCAGATGAACTTACCCCTGAAACTAACTTATTCAGACAAACTCAACAAACTGGAAAGGCAGTATGAAAGGCTATTGGTAAGTGATCTCTTGTATGATTGCTATTGAATGCCATTAAATATTGATTTAGTTTTTGTAGCCTGACTTTTATGAACGCCTCTTCCTTTCAGAGCTGTTCAAGAGAGCGGCAAAGCCACCTGGAAAGCCTGCATGACTTTGTGTCACAGGCAACTCAGGAGCTCATCTGGCTGAATGAGAAGGAGGAAGAGGAGGTTGCCTTCGACTGGAGTGATCGCAACAGCAACATCTCCAAGAAAAGAGACTACCATGCTGTCAGTATTTTAATTAACTGTAACTTAATCTGTGTAATCTTCCATGCAGACAGAATAACAAGGGCTTGTTCTAACAGTTCGTTTAGGTGTTGTTTGGCTCTGTTACAGCTGTATTCATAAAGTGAAGGGATTTGTGCATTGTTGAATGATTAACTTCAAACTTGGCGCTGAGAGACAGGATATGAGATTGTGGGAGAGGATGGCGTGACTGGTGCTTTGCCACGGCTGGATGCTGGAGATACTCAGCTTTAATGTCTTTCATACAGGACCTGATGAGGGAGCTGGATGAAAAGGAGGAAGTGATCAAGTCTGTGCAGGACAAGGCAGAACGCCTTATGCTCAAGAACCACCCAGCCAGACTCACTATTGAAGTAAGTCCTGTTTCTGTCTCACCTCTGCGGTCATTATGACAATTAGATTCTAACATTTGGAATGGCAGCAGTGTCTCCACCCTGCATTCAGGGACCACAATGATTAAAAGATAATGAAGTCTTGTAGTCTTGTAATTTTCCAGCTATTACTCCTGGATAATGTTTGTTGTATCTCTTCCAGGCATACAGAGCTGCCATGCAGACTCAGTGGAGCTGGATTTTACAGCTTTGCTCATGTGTAGAACAGCATCTCAAGGAGAATGCCGTTTATTTTGAGGTGAGTCGCTGCCCATTTTTCAGCCAGTTCAGCACAGTGTATTAGTTTCATCATATCTAATTTCTCACTCTTTTCCCCTTTTGTGCAGTTTTTCAGTGATGCCAAAGAGTCCATGGACTATCTTAAGAGCCTGCAAGATGCCATTCAAAGAAAATACAGCTGTGATCGAACAAGCAGCTTGCACAGACTGGAGGATCTCATTCAGGAGTCCATGGTAAACTGAGAGAAAGATACAAAGCGTGTGTGCATGTGAAGATAAGAATAAAAATAAACAACCTTTTTTTTGTATGCTGTGTCTCTAGGATGAGAAAGAGCAGCTACTTCAGTACCGCAGCACTGTAGCTGGGTTAGTGGGCAGGGCCAAGAATATTGTGCAGCTCAGACCCAGGAACCCTGAAAGCCCCGTGAGATCCTCCATCCCTGTTAAAGCTATCTGTGATTATCGACAGATAGAGGTACGAAGAAGTCTTCTGCCCCGTATTACGCCACATTTAATCCCAGTTTATTCAAGCTTTATTGTAAATCTGTGCTGTGTTTTTATCACAACTCTCTCAGATTACCATTTATAAAGATGACGAGTGTGTGTTGGCCAACAACTCTCACCGGGCCAAGTGGAAAGTCATCAACCCAGCAGGGAATGAGGCCATGGTGCCCTCTGTGTGTTTCACTGTGCCTCCGCCCAACAAAGAGGCTGTTGATATGGCTACAAGGTGAGATGCTAGAGTTCGTTTTGTATCTGGAATATCAGTTCAATTCTATTCAATAGGCTTTGAATTCATACAAGAAAATATCAAGAAAAACAATGAACACTGGAATTGTTTAAAATTATTAAATAACAATAAAAAAAATTATATATAGCAACATATACATATATAACCAGGTTATACTCATCAGCAGCAATCATCATCATTAATAAACTTGATTATTATAGGGCTACCAACCAAGTTGATTGATATATATAAAAAATAAAAATAATAACAATTAACATTTTTATTTTAATTAAAATGAACAATTAAAAAATAAGTCAATAGAGAGTTTTTTTTCTCTCAGGTTCTCAAGTTTGTTCTTGTGCTCAAATGACTGTTACTGAATATGTGACTTTGTTGGGATGAATTATTTATGTCTCTTGTTTTTCCTGCAGAACTGAGCAGTTATACCAGAATGTCCTGGCTCTGTGGCACCACTCCCACGTCAACATGAAGAGTGTTGTATCTTGGCATTATCTAATGGCTGATATACGAGCCATCCGCAACTGGAATGTGTCCTCCGTATGTTTAAATTATCATCTTTTTCCTTTTTTAGACTCACACTTTTCAACATCAGCCGATGATCATTAACAAAATCCTTTTTGATCCTCATTCGTTTATCTTATTTCCACTTTTTTTCTTCTATCCACCGCAGATAAAGACCATGTTACAAGGTGATCATCAGCAGGTTTTGAGCAACCTGCAGTCCCATTTCGACGAGTTCCTGGAAGACAGCGAGGAGTCTGAGGTATTCACGGTGGCAGACTGCGCCCAGCTAGAGAGAGACGTCGTGGCCTGCAAGGAGTACTACCAGGAACTACTCCGATCTGCAGAAAGAGGCAAGGCTCACATTCCCTTCATGTCCCCCCCCCAACAAAGAGCTGGTGTACATTGAACACTGTGAAGGAAACACATGGCTCTATAAGCCCCTTTAAGCCTTAAGTTAATGCCTTTTGGAATTATGTTTTTTACTCAATTAAGAAGAGTTTCTAAGTGGATGGTTGGCTTTGCTGTGAATGAAAAGCAAACACTGTTTTTAATGTATGGTTATGGGTTTAAAATAGGGGAGAGTATAGTAATTTACATATTGTCTCTCCCCTTTTCTGAAATAAGTTGTTGTTAAAACCATTTCCCTAAACCGTGTATGACTACTTTAGCAGTGTACAATGTTCTATTGATGTAGCTGCAATGCAACTTGGCCTTTCTTTGTGATAATGCTGCCACCTAGAGGTGCACTAGAGGTGTGACCCTATATGTAGGTTCAAGATTCCCTTTGTTGTATCATTTAGTATTTGCCTAATAAATAGTAGTGATTTTCAATTAGAAGGAAACTGTTATATTAACTATTATTAAAAAACTGTCCTGTCACTGTTTGACGCATATTTGATGTTGATTATTTGTACTGATAATATTTCTCTGGTAAACAGAGGAACACGAGGAGTCTGTATACAATCATTACATCTCAGAAATACGTAACTTCCGGATGCATCTGGAGGCCCATGAAGAACACCTGATCAGGCAACTCCGTACGCCGTTGGAGAGAGACGACCTGGAGCAGAGTCTGCAGCGTATCACAGAACATGAGGTACACATCTGCGTATCAATAAACGTGTTCAAGAACTCACTGCTGTTGTTGTTGTTTTAATCTTGATTTTCTACATGCCACTTTGCAGAAGAAGACGGCAGAGCTGAATAAACTGAAGGAGGACCTTGACGTTATGAAGGATAAGTGTGAGCTGTTCCTGAGACAGGCTGCAGGTGCTCCTTCAGTGCAGACGCTTTCCTCTGAACTCACCGTCCTCGTTCAGAGCATGAGCCAAGTGAACTCCATGTCTTCCATTTATATGGACAAGTAAGACACTCCCTTCTTTGTCTAGAAGCAATCACGGTGACATCTGTATATTTATAGTAGACAGACATTTGCATTAGAAGTACCTGAGTTGTATCTCTTTGTTTTGCAGACTGAAAACAGTGAGCTTAGTGGTGAAGCACAGCCAGAGTGCGGAGGCGCTAGTTAAGACCTACGAATCCAAACTCTATGAGGAAGATGCTATGAACTCTGATGTCAAGTCCATTGAGTCAGTCATTTCAACACTTAAGGTAATAAACTGTTGCAGTCAACATTTTCACCAACATTAACTAACGCTATTAGTTCTTTTCAAGTAATCTTTCCTCCTTATGATTGTAGCAATGGAGGTCAGAGATTGATGAGAAGCAGGAGGTGTTCCATGACATGGAGGATGAGCTGCAGAAAGCACGAGTCATCAGTGACCGCATGTTTAAGGTGCATAATGAACGTGACTTTGACCTGGACTGGCACAAAGAGAAAGCAGATCAGCTGAGTGAACGGTGGCAGAACATTCACTCCCAGATTGATAACAGGTTAGTGTTAATTTCTTCCTATAGGATTTTTTTTTTGCATGCAGGTATTGTAAACATAAATGTAAGTATTACAATAGCTTATTGACATTAACTATTCAATTTCAGGCTTCGGGATCTGGATGGTATCAGCAAATCTCTGAAACACTACAGAGACTCTTATAGTTGTCTTGATGAATGGGTCAGAGAAATGGAAGTAGCACAGCTAAAGGCCCAAGAAAACAAACCTGAAGATAGTAAAGCACTGGCTGAGCTGTTAAACAAACAGAAGGTAGGACAAGAATTCATGTTTCACAATAAGACAAACATAGTACATATATGGATGTATAAATATATACTTAAAATGTGTTTTTCAGGTCCTTGTTGCTGAAATTGAACAAACACAGAGCAGAATTGATGAGTGTCAGAAGTACTCCGAGCAGTACTCCTCTTCCATTAAAGTAAGCAAATTTATTTCAATTTTGACATGTTTTTATTGTTTTTTTTAGCTATTTTGTTAAATTTTCTCATGGTATTTCTGATATATGAAATTAGCAGTTGCTGTCATTTCCATTCCAACATTGTTGGGCAAGGACCAAACTGACAATTGTTGCAGATGGCAAAGAGACAACCTTCTAAACTTGCACATAAATGTATTTTTTTAGGATTATGAACTTCAGCTGATGACCTTCAGAGCGATGGTTGATTCCCAACACAAATCCCCTCTAAAGAAACGGAGGATGCAGAGCTCCTCTGATGCCATTCAGCAGGAGGTAAAACTAGGATTTAACTTTGGTAGCGCAGGAAATGGGGGCTCTATATAGACACATATGAATGACCTACGTTTTCTTTGTTTGATTTCACAGTTCATGGATCTCCGAACCCGCTACACTGCTCTTGTGACTCTCATGACACAGTATGTGAAGTTTGCCAGTGAGACGCTGAGGAGAACTGAAGACGAGGAGGTGAGAGATTCATATTTTAATACTTCCTGGCTTCCTATATTTCCAGTGGCTAACGCAGCACATTTCAGACTTTTGCAGCTATGTGGATGCTTAAACTTAAATGCCAGTTTAGCTTTACCTTCTTGTCTTTTCCTTTCTTATCTGTTCTGCATCAGCATATTTCACTTCCCCACTAAGAAGTAGTGAGTCGTAAAATAATGTAACAGTCAAAAACATCTATGTATTTTTATCCCTTGTGTGCCTTGAGTTCTTCACTTGACAGCTCATCGTAAGTGAAGATATTTGCTTCGTCGTGCAAAAGAAGCAAAGGAAATGCACACTTGCAATGCATGTCTGCATGTACAGTAATTCCTCATTGCTGGTGATGGTGACTTGCTGGGAGGAGAGAGACTTTTATACTTGAACAGAAAGTCTTTCTCATGTTGGCCTTTCTGTGGGAAAATACAGGCTCTCCAGGAGTTTGTGTAGTATTTTATAAATATTGGTCTTGAGAGGTATTCTCAAACTTATTTGCTGAAAACTGTGACAAAGTGTTACAAGTTTGGAATCAGAGGGTAAAGGTGCAGTGGTCAAATCAGTGACAAGTGCTATTCAAACAATCTTTCAAAGATCTGTTCAGTAAATATTCACTTTATTAACCCTCCACAATATTCCTGGCTACATGAAAAATCTTGAAAATGCAAATTCCTGGAGAGATTGAATAATATGGCTGCAGCACTCTGGTAAGAAGTAAAAAAGTCATGCATTTAATTTCACAATTTAACTTGAAACAGTGAATGACTTATGTTTTTGCGTTATAGAACAGAAAGGCTTTTGAAAGAGCAGAGAATGCAAAAAGGACAGAGAGCATGGAGCTCCAAAAAGCTGCAGGGGAAGTAGAGATTAGTCAACTTAAGCAACGGGTCCAGGAACAGGAGGCTTTGCTGGTTGAAAGACAAGCACAGCTGGAAAAGTTGGAAGGAGAAGTAGAAACTCAACACAAGACAATTGATGATCTAACCTTTCAGAAATCACAGCTTGAGCATGACGTTCATCAGTATTGCACCAAGTTAGAAATAGCTGTAAAAGACAAAGCTGCCAGTGAGCAGGAATTAAGTCACACAAGACAGTTAATTGAGCAGTCAGAGGCCAAGTGCTCTTTGGCTCAGAGGAGACTAGAAGACCTCTTAAAGAAAACAAACGTTGACCAAGATCTTAAGAAACAGAGCCCCAGACTTCAGAGAAAAATAAACATGGAAGAAGGTTCTGAGGAACAGATTCAAAGTCAGGTCCAGGCTAAAGTAATTGATCTGGTTCAGCGGCCTTTGGCATTTGGCAGTCAGTTGACAGTCAAAAGTGATCCAGAATCATCTTCAGTTAGAGAAAGTGACAGCATGATGGCAGATGTCCTGCAGCAGAAACTAGAGGAGCTGGTCCTGGTCCAGAAAAAAGCAGACATGGCTGAGGAGAAAGCACAAAGTTATAAAAAGCTGTTGGATGACAGCAACAACAGACTGAAGAAACTGCAGATGGACATGGAAAGTGAAAGGAACAACATGAGACAGAAATCAGATGATCTGCAGCAGGAAGCACAGAACATGAAGAAATCCATCAATGAACTTCAAGAGGAAATCAGGTCTCTCCAAAGAGCAAAGTCCTCATTGGAACAAATAACTTTTTTCCAAAGCACTGAAGTTGAAGGCCTCAAAGAGCAGCTGAAGATCACCCAAGGAGAAGTGCATAAGAAAAGCTCCATGGAGCAGGAAAATATTTACAAGTTTAGCAACTTAGAAGAAGATATAGCTTCCAAGCAGGCAGTAATAGATCAGCTGAAGTTTAAATGCAACGAGCTGACCAGGATAAATGTCTCATCTGACAGTGATATTAGAGCTCTTCAGATCCAAACAGAGTCATTGGAAAAAGAGAGATCATTTTCTGAACAAAAGATCAAGACCTTAAAGAGAGAGATAGAGAGCTGGAAACAGCAGCTTCAATCAGCTAAGGAAGAAAACAACTTAATGAAAAGATCTGAGCAGGTGTCGCAGCTCAAATGTAAAAACCTCGAAGCAGAACTCCAGAAAAGTGAATTAGTTGCTTCTCAACTGCAGAAAAGAGTAGATGAGTTAAAGCAGATGAATGTGGAGATGGAAAATAATCTTAAGAACGCAAGAGCTAAACTAGATCAGGTTACGATGGAAATTGATAGCAAGGATCAGCAAATTAAAATCTTTAAGTCCCAGGTGGAGGGCACCAAATCACAGGTTCAAATTATTGAGGAGGAACTAAATAAGAAAACCCAGACCTCCCATGAGCTTCAAATGAAGCTGCAGGATTACAGTGAGGAGGTAAGGAAAACGACTGAACTGCAGCAGAAAATCAAAACACTCAATTCAAACATTGCCAATTATGAGAAAGAAATAACAAATCTGAAATCAGAGCTGAAGTCAGTGTTTGCTGAGAGGAATTCTGCACATCAAAAGATCCACATGCAAAATGCAGAAATTAATGATTTGAACATGATGCTAAAGAAAACAAAAGCAGAACTGCAAAAAGAATCTGCTGACAGTCAGACAAATCTCAATAAAGTCAAGGCATTAGACGATGAGCTTTTTAAACATAAGCACAGTATTAAAGGGTTAACTAGCAGCTCAGAGAAAACTACAGAAAACCTAAAGCAGGAGATTTATGGTCTTCAGAACGACAAGAAAGCAACAGAAAGGAAAGTAGAGAACTTGAATGTTAAACTTTCTGAGTTAAGCTCTTCCCTTCAAAGAACTAAAGATGAATTGTTAAAAGAGACCAAAGAAAGAAAAGTTAAAGAATCAAAAATAGTGCAGCTGGAAACAGAGCTTCAGAAAAGTAAAGTAACAATGAAAGAATTAATGTTGAGTTCTGACAAATCCCGATCAAATCTACAACATGAGAATATGATCCTTAAGAAGGAAAAAGCTGAGGCACTAGAGAAAAGCATGTTGTGTGGATCTGAAGTCAGGACGCTAAAAGAAAAGCTGCAACGCACCCAAACAGAAGCAGAACAAAAGCAAAAAGAAAACTCTGTCCTTCAACTGAAGTCCCAGCAGATGGAAGAACAACTTGACAAGTGCAAGAAAATGCTAGAGGAGTTGAAAAGTAAATTAGAACTTCAGAAAGAGGGATATGAGAGGCAGTTGTTGCTAGTGCAGACTGAAATAGAGAAAAAACTGATGTTACTTCAATCTGAAATCTCAACTGAAAGTGGGAAGTCAAAACAGCTGTCACATAGCACAGAATTAGTTGAGATGCTGAACAAGTATTTCAAACAAGATGTCAAACAGATTAAAACAGTGTATCAAACCACAGTGGAAACAAAGCAACAAACAGACCAACAGCTGCAACTGCAGATCAAATTGGACAAACTGCAGCAAGAAAGAACTAAGCTTGGACATGACCTCTCTAAGGCACAATCACAGATTGCCCAACTTGAGGAAGACAAAGTTAAACTCAACTCAAAAATAAGCACCTTGCAAAGCATTTGCAATGAACAGCCGAATGAGTCGGCTAAATTTAAACAGCTGTTAGCAGATAGTGAGTGGAAACTGACAGTGAAGGACAGTGAAGCGAAATCTCTTCGGGAGCAAATAGAGTCGTATGTCAAAGAAATCAAAAGTCTTCAGGAAAAGCTTTTGATGCTCGGGGTCAGGATGAAGATTGAAAACGAGATGATAAATAAACAGGAAGTGACCGAAACCAGGCATCACTATGTGAAAGACAACCAGACCACTTCCACAGAACATACAGTGATGCAGGGGACGGTGCCCTCTTATGAAAGTGCAAAATGCAACCTGGAGGACGAGATTCTCAAAATGAAAGTGTCCTCAGAGGTATGGATGAAGTTAATTCAGTTCAGTTTAATTACTGCAACAAAATATCATATTTATTAACAATTACAATATATTTAAATGTAGTACAGTTTTACTAATTGTTTATTTTTTAACTATTTATTAAAACATCTATTTAGTCATTGTAGTTATCTTTAGTTATCTGTAACAGTGAATTCTAGTCATCTGTAACTTAAAAGTTCTTCCAATGTCACATCTACAGATGTCAACAATGGGGAAAGAAAACATTCTTGAAGGACTGAAACAAGGCAAACAAGATAAAATGGAAGTCATTCAAAGCCAAAGCCTTCATGATTCACAGACAAAGAAACCTTTGAATAGCTCTACTTATCAAACTTCTACTCTCCTACAAAAAGACCAAACCAAACCTGACAAGTCCATGACAGTGACAGCACGTGGATACATGGCTCTGTGTGGACTAACAGACACACATAGCATCACTAAGACAACAACATATCAGATTCATAAAACTAGTGAAACTGTAAACACATCAGAGAAGAGAACAACAGACAGTGAGGGAAAACTGAGTGACATGTATTCAACTTCCCAAAAGCTCCCAGAACTCAAGGGCAGCACAAGTATTCAAAACCTAATCAAATTCAAGTTCTTGGATGAAGAGGTTTTGCGCAAGTTGGAGAAAGGCCTTGTCACAATAGAAGAGGTGCAAGCATCACTTCACGTCGGCAAACCAACAACTATTGCCGGAGTTTATGTGGAGTCAAGTAAGAAAAAGATGTCCTTCCTCGAAGCTGCTGAGAAGGGCTTCTTAGCAAAGACGTACGCTCTTGAGTTTCTGGAAGCTCAGGCTGCAACAGGAAGCCTTACAGATCTGGCCACAGGACAAACACACTCAGTTGCTGAGGCTCTGGAGAAAGGTATTATAGAGAAAGGCCTGAAAGACAAACTGATAGAGGCTGAGAAAGCTTTTAGTGGCTACATCCATGCTGGCAAAAAGCTGTCTGTTTTTCAGGCAATGGAAGAAAGGGTTCTTGATAGATACAAAGGCAAGAAGCTTCTTGAGGTCCAGGTATCCACTGGAGGACTGATCAACCCAGAGATTGGTGTCAGGGTGCCGGCAAGCATTGCTGTTGATCAGGGTCTTTTGAACAAGGAGACTCAAAAGAGTCTGTATGATCCAGTCAGTAACCCCAAAGGTTTCCACAACCCTGACACTGGACAGAAGGCATACTACTCTGAAATACTGAAGACATGCCTTTATGACATAGATGGTGGTGTGTTTCTCTTTCCATTTGGTGAGAGACATCTCACAAACACCTCTCCCATGAGTTCTCATAGAGCGTCTGTTGTCATCAGCAGCTGTGGCATCGAAATGTCAGCGTATGAAGCATTCAAGGGGAGACACATTGACAGGAGGACTTATCTGTTTCTGTCACAGCAGGAAAGTGAATGGCAGGAAAAGTCCATAGTTGATGCCAGTGGAAGCCCACTTCACATCATTATTGACGTCAGAAGTGGCCGACAACTTTGTCTAGAGTCAGCTTTAAGTCAGAGGTTTCTTGAAATGTCCGAGCTTGATAGCTATCGCAATGGGCTTCTTAGTATCTATGAGATCGCGGACATCATATTTTCAAGAATGGTTGTTGTGGAAGATGTTAACAGCCCCATTGCTGGTCTCTGGGATGTCAGCCGGAGGAAGAGGCTGTCAGTTCTTCAGGGTTTTCAACAGGGCTTTACTGATAGAGCCACTGCCTTGCGTCTGTTGGAGGCCCAGGTCTGCACTGGAGGCATTTGCGACCCCTCTTCAGGGGAGAAAGTTACCCTCTCGGAGGCTCTTAAAAGAGGTCTGTTGGATGAGGCATTGAATCAGCAGCTCCAGCAGTTTGAGCAGGCCTTTAATGGCATCATTCACCCCAAGACTTCAAAGACTTTGTCTGTCTCCCAGGCTGTTCAGGAAAATCTCTTCCCAAAGGATGCCGGCTTTCGCTGTATCGAATTCCAGCTCCTGACTGGAGGATTGATAAACCCTGACACTCATGACAGAGTCTCACTTGAAGAAGTCATTCAGAGCGGCCTTGTTGACAAAGTTACTGCCTCTGTACTCAAAGATGAGAAGTTCCATACCAGGAGCCTCACATGTCCAAAGACTAAGAGAAGAATCACGTTTAGGGAGGCACTTGAAAGAAGTGTGTATGACTGCCACACAGGGTTGAGGTTACTCGAGGCCACAAAAATTCAGGGTTATGGACCCAAATCAACATTCCATTATGTTTGGGCATATAAGTAATAAACATTTGTAAATATATGCTTGTGCATAAAAGCAAAACCTGCAAATGGGATTTCCTTTGGTTTTGTATTTGGATGTTAAGTTACCTTGACTTCAATGTTTCTTTTTTTGGTTTACACACACATTTTTATCCAATGGTTGATGCAGCTGACAATGGTTTTGGAGCATTGGTGTTTTTAGTCTGATTGTAATTATATTTTTGGCGAAGTCCCTCCCTTTTAGGATTCCCCCCAAGTGTTTGGTTTATTTTTTGTAACAAAGTTAACAATCTTGTCAAAAACCCATCTGTTTTGATTCTAGAGATCTGTTGATGAGGAGAAGAGAGAGCATGGTGATAAAGTTAGCAAACTATTGCACTGGATGTCCAATGTGAAACAGACCCCAAACAATGATGGGAATGCTTTGAAAGATAGCAATGCCAACACAGATGCTTCTAATAAGCCCCAGGTAAATAATGTGTATTATTTGTGGTGTTTTCAATGTGTCCTGTTTTCATATATTTCCACGTATTTGTTGTACATGAGACAATGCTTTGGTTTAATGGTGAACAGAATTTTGCTAATCAAAACAACATCACAGTGTATGAATTCTAATAAAAATACACTATCTACTTTCTGATTATTTCAATCCATATATTGTACACTACACATGGCAGTGGTTGTAGTGTTACCTTATCATATCCCTTGTTCATATGGCTTACAAAAGAATGGTTATATATTATGGATTTCATTTAAATCACCCATAACTGATTCAATAACTTATGATGTATAAGTTACACAAGCACTCATAACAACCCCAGTGACCAATAGATTATATTAGCCCAACAGGTTATTAAAATATCACAATACATTTCATTGTCCCTCTGTGTCTATGGAAACATGCAGTTTACATACAGTCCAAAGCTGACATTATTCAATTAAAATGTGAAATTTCCCTGATGTTTGCGGTATATGACATTAACATTATTGAAAGGAAGAAAAGGATCAACTTGGTGATCCTGAAGAAATGTGTTATAATTGATTGTTTTACAGAATAGAATAGACAAGAGAGTCTGAACCTCTTTAATCTATCAATACCCATCTACAGTGCTAACTTTACAGCATTTACTTATTTTACACTCCTGTTTAGATTGTTTTACATCTATGTGTTCATATTAGTGACTGATAGTTGAACAAAACTGTATATTCATGTATAAAACACGCCATGTAGACAATTATTCTAGTGTTCACAATGTATTCAGTACATTTACTTAATATAATTAATTAAGTCTTGTGCTGTCATCTGGAACATAAGCACTGGACACTGACATTTAATTTTATTTTTGCTGTAAACATATAAACCACAGTTAAAGTACAATGTCTAAATATGTAAATACACATTTGGATTATTATTATAAATTAGTTGCTATGATTTTATTACACATAAAACATGTCAGTAAGGTTCATTTTAGAAGCAATCTGGGATTTGAACCAAAAAATAATAAAAACCTGGTCATTGTTTTTACAATATGCACACGTTAATATAGATAAAATTCAAATTAAGTAATTACCATTTAATAATGACAGCTTTGGACTTAGTGTTTTATTTTATTTTGTCAAATTATAAACCATCTCTCTGATTGTGTTTGAAGTGTTTCTAATATTCTGTCGCTCCATGTAAGGGAATGAAAAAATAACGCACAGTGCATAACAATACCCCAAATTACAGTCTCTAAAATGAGCGAAGAGCTGAATCTACTCTTTGACACATTCTGAACGAAAGTTGCATAGCTGTTCTGTGCAGGGGTTTATAATTAATCTTGTCAGTGGAGTGTACAGTTGTCTATATACATCAATTGATATATTTAATATAAATAAGTCAATTGAAAACTGTAATTCAGTCTTTTAAAGCAATTCTAGTGTGTGAGTATCTGTGAGCTTTGTGTCCCTGTTGTCTCTGTTAACTATAATTATATTGGTGACAACACTATTGTACTCAAAGAGTAGTCATTGTACTGCATATAAAGTATTATATGCCACTCTTTGATGTTCTAGGTGTCAGTGGAGGAAATGGTCACTAAGAAGGAACAAATTGCAGAAGCATTGAGGGCCACACAAATGATGCTGAACAAACACAGTGACAAGTAAGTCAAGCTACTATCACTGACATCCAAAATACTTTTTTGTTTTCAGCCTCATTCTTTGTGTTTTGTCTCACAGAATGACAGAAGAGGAAAGAGAAAAGGCCCTGGAGCAGCTGAAGGCACTCAATCAGGCCTACAGTGAACTCTCCCAACAATGTTCGGATCAGACAACCTCTGCAGAAGAGGTTCGACCCCAGGCTATTTCTCCTATTGAGTGGTTTGCTTTTGTGTGTCTTATAATGTGTTAGAAAACAGTGCCACCTGATGTTCAGCTGCATGACTAACCTTTTTACTCCTCTCCCTAGTACAGTGTGTGCAGTTGTCTTTTGCACTCATTATGGACTCATTAGGGACAAAAAAAGATTTAAATAACTGATTCCCAGAAAATCTGAGTATGCTGTAAACATGCTTTGTTGCGCTCGGCTTTGGTCTGAAATTTTACCATTATTATAGTGCTTGACTTCAAAGTCAACTTGATAACGGAAATGACACATAACCCTTTACCTACAGTATGTGATGTGACTAACTACCCTCTTTTTGCAAGATGCTGGATACTGCATTCCCAGGTGCATGATAGCTTTAAATGTATTATGCGTCACTCTCCTGTTGCAACAACCACGCAGTCTTGCACTTGTGCACATGATGTTTTAACATGCCCATATTTGTCTAGTGGTGAGTATATTTTTTGTCTTGCTTTTGAATACTTTGATTGCACATTTGACATACAGTAAATAATACAGATTTTGATGCTAAAATAAGTTCAGTAATTTCTAAAATTTTCTTTTTCTTTAGGATTTTACATTCAGTGATGCAGGGCTTGGGACTGGACACATTAGTAGCCCTATTGATCAGATAATTACTCTCCCAGAGGCCCAACCCGAGACCTCCAGCCCCTTTCAGTCTGAGCCGCATGTCTGTCTGGACTGGGATGATGCTTGCAAACAAGATCTCACTTATAAATCCACACTGAACCACTTGCCAGAGTTGAATGAATCAAGCAAGTGCATACAGAGTTCACATGTCTCTTCTGTGTCGCTCTCTGACATAGCAGCAGCTAGGGAAGGGGCCACTTGTGAAGACCCAATCATCAAGATGATAGAGGTCAAAGAAGTCAGTGATGGATTGCAGGTGTACTACACAGGGGATGCACTGACCCTGGAGAGGGCATTTCAGTGTGGTTTAATACCTGCTTCTGTTTATATAAAGATTCTTCAGAGGCAAAAGACCTGTCAGGATGTGTCTCTCTTAGAGCCAGTGCAGGAGGTTGAACCTTGTGAGGTCAATAGTATGATATTAAAGTGCCTCAGCGGAAATAAATCACTGACATTAGGAAGGGATGTTCACACTCTGAGGTCTTTTCATGATGGTTTAAGTGATCAGGAGACCACCTCAGGGCTTTTAAGTGTTCAGATGGATGTAGATGACCCCAAAGAAGGTCAAAACATAACAGCTGAGGATGTTATGAGTAGCACTGGGAGCATCCAAAATGGCGATGGACTAAAGGTGGATGCAGCCATTCAGTGTGACTTGATGAGCTCTAGCAGCACACTCACTATTCTTGGAAATCAGCAATTTATGGGAATTGTGTTGCCTTCCTCTGGGGAAATTCAAACTGTGTCCACCTCATTCCAGTATGAGCAACAAATCACCACCAATGAGTTTACCAGCAGACTGTTCAGTAATCGGGAAAAAATAGCAGCTTTTTACGTTCCAGAAAGTTCTGAGGTGGTAGACATCACCTCTGCCATTCAAAATGGTTTGATTGACAGTTACACTGCAGAAATTTTGAAATCTATAGAAATTCCTGATGTGTTTCCTGATGTTGATCACCTGAATGAAAAGTTTTCATCCTGGCTTATGTATAAAAAACTCACAGTTGATGGGCGCTATCATGCTGCAGATTGCTTAAAGGTTGACAACATCCCTACTCACACAGAGGCAAAGCAGTTGTTCATCTCCTATCTAATGATAAACAGTTACATAGATCCCAGATCAGGACAGAGGGTCTTAATACTCGATAAACAGTTGAATAAAATGGTTAAAATCTTTCTTGAGGATTCAATATTGTCTGAAAACACAGAGAAGAATGTAACTTCTCTCACTTTAACTGTTGGTGATGTTTCAGAACAGGAAGATTTAGAGATCCCGTTGTATATAAATGAGGAAACAGAGGAGTTAATGAGATACACGCAACACACATCCGATCCTCATAATTTTGTTTCTTCGGTCAATGGAAGAATTAGCTTAGATAAAAAAACAGATGCAAACGACAAGGCTTTAAAACAAGATCCTGTCAATGAAGTTTTAGTTGATAGTAACATTAACATGAATACCACAGAGCTGAGTGTAGCAGAGGAAACCATGTGTCAGAACTACACAGATTGGACAAAGTCAGGTGAATTTACAGAGAGAATTTCTGGAAATAGTTTACAAATTGATGTTGGAGTTGCTGATAGTGAAGACATTGATATTCCAGTGTTGTCAGTCGTTCCAACTTCATGTTCTGTGAACAGATTGAATGGTGTCTCACCGTCAACGACGTTTGACACTGAGTGTGCAGTGAAATCCCGCCATCAAACACTACCATACTACGATCCCGACTCACTTTGTAGTGAATCAGAAGGTACGGATATTACCCAGGCTGACTTTTTATGCTCTGAGGACTTGATGGAAGATGAAAATGAGCAAGACTACGCTATTCATCTTCTGAAAGCGCAGATGGAGGAGGGTGGAATTTTAGACGTCACCTCTGGGAGACGTTATGACCTGGAGGCAGCTCTCCGTAAGGGCCTAGTTGATGAGATGACAGTACTGAAACTGCTTTGCCTACAGTCAGATGAACAAGGAGGTATAGGTATAGGTGTAGGAGATGAGGAGTGTGCTAGGTCTGTTTTAAAACAGGCAGTGTCAGATGGATCCATATCCTCAAATATTGCTCTTTCTATAATAGAACAACAGAGCCCATTGAGGTCTGGTTGTACCATTAGTATCAGTGACTCATTGCAGTCTGGATTAGTTGAAGATGAAGATGTCAACAAGATCCTCAACTTAGACCCCAAAGACAGCATTTACCCAGAGGAAAGCTGCACTCACTCCATCCCTGAAGATCATAATCAGGGTTTAATTAATATTAATGAAGCTGAAATCATGCAGCAGCCGACTGAGAGGAAGGTTGCTGTCATTGTGCTTGATCTGATCGATGAGGAGGCTGATAACAAAAAGATAGAGCATGAGAATGTAGATGCAGAGGTAGATTGTGAGACAACAGGAAATGTAGAGAAGATGAGTAATTATCTACATCATTCCCCTCCCTCGGTTGGTGGTCACGAGTCTCTGGTGATCTCACCCTCCTCGTGGAGTAAGGTTACTGCAGAGTGTGTTCATCACACTGACAGACCACTTTTACTGGCTGAAGACAGTGACTCACAGGATGAAGTCAATAGCGAGTTGACAGATGAAGCTGATGTATATAGTGTTGTGATAGAAAATGCTGACCCATGTCCCCAGTCACGTCCATCCAGTCTGAGTGACGGAACCTCCAGCATCAGTACCGATCCAGAAATCCAGACTCAGTATGCCACTTCTGCTGCTCACACTGAGTTTTTCATTGCTGGATATGATGCAAAGGTGGGGAATCAGACAGTTAATGAAATGTCCTCATCACACCGCAATGTGTTGTTTGAGGAAAGTAGAATGGAGAATGACACAAGTGCAGCTCAGTCACCTTTTGACAGTGAGCCAACTCCAAGTAGAGATTACTCATCACCCAGGGATTCAGTTGAAAGTGCTATTATCTCAGTTTCCAGGGGTAATGGTAACTATAACAACAACATTACAGAAGATGGCAGCAGAGTCCCATTACCTCAGCCAGCAGCACTTCATTCAGAAAGTGATTTTAATGTTGAACCTGAGCCCAGATACTCTCATAATGATCAGAGTCTGCTTGTTGGTGAGAGGTCTCAACCGTCACCCATTGTTTCCGATGAAGTCACTGCAACAAACCCTATCAGTCTGAAGTGTTTTGATGCAGGAGATTCAGAGAGCTACACTTCAACTGCCACCAGAGTTTCTCTTGAAACAGTTCTGGCTAAAAAAGATTTGTCAGGTTCCTGGCACAGTGGTACAGAATTAAGCACAGATGGTCTTTCCCCAGAGATGCAACATGAGGACATTTTCACAATCACCAGTGATGTAGAACTGATTTCTGCATCAAGAAATACACAGACAAGTGATAAACAAAATGCAGATATTGGTGGAAAAGTCTCAGGTCAGTCGGAAATTATAATGGGACTAAGGTTAGGATCTGATATTCTACCAGAGGGAAAGGGATTAGAAGTGTGTGCTTCTGAGCACCCTCAGGTAGATACTGATTTCCTGCCAGACACCAGCTTTACACCTGAAGTTTCCTCTTCAGCTCCATCATTGTTTTCTGATGCTGTAAGGACACATGTAGATGATCAGGAGGAAACTAATGTCAGTGATTTACAAAAGGCACAAACTCAAGAAACTGAAAGCATTATTTCTATAGTTCCGAATCCTCCACAACCTTTAGAGCAAGGCAGTCTTCATGAGAGAGACACACCTCATGGACTTGTAGAGAGTAGTCACCCAGACCTTCTCATGGATTTGCTGAAGCAAAACAACCTCAGTCTAAACAACAAAGAAAAAGAAAACTCAGAACTGATACTGCAGGAAGAGAAAGTCAGTGAAAAGACAGAACAGTCTGATGCTCCAAATATCCAGCTGCAACTGCTGCAGGTTCTTAAGACTGTTTCCTCAAGCCAAGACCTTTCAATGCTTCAGGAAGTGATGGAAACTCTGAACACTGCTCTGGGGGGTGACTCTCAGGAGGAGTGTCGGCACGCTCTGGAGAGCATCAAGGAGGAGAGCTCGGAGGGAGAAGATGAGGGGTCAGCAGAAGATGACGTTGGTCTCTGTCACTCTGCTGCAGACAGTCACCATCCATCTCCTCTGTTGCCTGCCAGCTCAGATGCCTGCAAAGTTGAGCAGGTTAAAAATAAGGTACTTGTACATTTTATGTTGTTTCAGTGTTAAGCCAACTCCCTCCCTTAGTTTTTGACAGAACATCTGCTCCACTTGTGTTCTTCTTTCAGCTGTTCTCCATCCAGGATTATTTGGAGAGTGTTGGGAGACTGCAGGATCACGCTGATGTTTTGGATGATGTCAGAAAAGACCTTTTGAGCCAGGCACCCATCGGCAACAACATGGAGGAACTGCAGATCCAAATGGAGGAATGTCAGGTGAGAATTTAATAATTAAAATGTGTCTCTGGTATAAATAATCAATCATATGTTTTCAATTTTCCATTTACATGTATGCATTAGTTCCTGACCAAATGTGTTCCTTTATCCAGTCTCTGGAGTCCCAGCTTTCTAGACTGGGTGGTGTTCTGACAGCAGATTTGGAGAAAGCCAAACAGCTGTTAAATTCTGCTGATGAGGGTATTCCCATACAAATCCACCAAGATTTGGCCTCGACATATCTGGAGTTAGAGCCAAATTTTACTGCTGTTTCCCAAATGTGTGTAGAAAGGAGTCACTCCCTAATTCAGGCAATGGAAACTGGAAAGGTCAGTGTTCACTACCAGTGGTTAAAATACAGTGATGTAACAGTTGCATCAGCTATTGACTAATTGAAATGTGATTTTAGGTACATTTGGAATCGACATACCAGAAACATCTCAGTGATCTTGAGGAATTGGCGGGCCTTATCGACAACAACTCTGAGATGAGTGATGTGGATTTTAACACATGTGATGTGGACACACTGAAGCATTTGATTCAGCAGAACAAGGTATCTTTTAAGTCCAATTAAAGACTTTCAGTATCTACAGGAATTACTGAAACACTCATATTTCCATCTTTTCTTCCAGGACACGGAGAACAACCTGCTGAAAGAAGCCAGGCTCAAGTTAGAGGACATCACATTCGATATCCAGTGCTTTATATCTGAGCACACTCAGTTCCTGAGTCCAGCTCAGAGCAGCTACCTCCTCAAGTTCCTCAGCACCACTCAGCGAGCATTCAGGGACCAGACAGAGAGGCTTGTTACCCAAAGGAGTGCCTTAGATGTCCTATTGTACTCCAAGGAGAGAGAAAACCAGGAGAAGGTCTGCCTGTGGATAAAATATAAAACATCATAAAGCTCATTATGAATACTTACAGTGCCTCTACAGTAGGATGTATAAGCCATGTTAGTGGTCAGATTTAATTACAGAATTGGCAGAGTAGCATAATTTGTGGACTTATATAAATGTAATAAAAAGCTACTCAAATAGAAAAAAATAAATGTTAATTTACTTTACAAATATTGAGCTTTTATGTTGAATTTTTGTGGATTTAAATTGAAAGTTAGACTTAAGTAATGAGTATTTATTAATATCCAGTAGTTCTCAGTGTGTTTTGTGACATGTGTTGAAGTGAATTATTAGTTTTTGTTTTCAGGATTCAGATTTAGATTTTTGACTGTAAATACCTAATTGTTTAGGAACAATAACAACATTGCATGCTCCAGTGCTTGACCACGCAGACTAACCTTTGTGCTGATTGTATTCTACAGGCCTTCAAGACACCAGTGAACAATTAACTGTGGACAAAATGCACCTTCTCTGTTGGAACACCCATTAACACACCGGACATAATGTTCCCTTTGTGCTTATTACCATCACAAGACCAAAGTGGCGAATGGCGAAAAAGCATGTTTACAGCATTCTAGATTTATACACCATTATGATCAAAGAAAATGTAAAGCAGAGACTGCATGTTACCTCTATATGCTTGAATAGTTTCTTCTGTCTTCTTTTCATGTTTGTGTTCCCAAATATTGATCGGGCTGTTCAGACAAAAGCAATAACCCTTTATGGGTTTGTTTCATGTGAATGGGCTTAATGACTTTTAATGGCCTTTAGTTATTATGTGGGATATTAACTTTGTGTGTGTTTATTCTTGTTATACAGTCTTTATTGGCGAAACACAAGGAGTTTACAGAGAAGTTGGAGGAAGTGTGTGATAATCTCACCCTTACGGAAAACCACCTGATTGGTCATCAGCAACAGGCTGAAAATGCTGAGTGTGTCACCGACCTGCAGCAGTACCAGCAAGAGCATCAGGTTTGATTCTCTTTGCTTTTGGATGTTTTCATCAGTTATTTTATTCCACAAAACCTACTCTTCCTAACGCTTTATGACTGTCTGATCTCAAGGCTCTGCAAAAAGATGTATTGACAAATGCCAGTGCCTTGAATGAGGTCATCACCAGTACTAAAAAGTTTCTGGAGGAAAACCGGAGCAAGCTGTTGCCAGATCAGATTGCCATGCTTGAGAGCAAGTTGGAAGAGGCTAAAAGCAAAGCCAAGCTCATCGACCAGCGGGCGGAGGAGTCCAGGAAAGATTTGGAGAAAGTTGTTACCACAGCCATAAAACAGGAGAGTGAAAAGGTCAGAGTTCAGATTTTCTATATGTGTTGTCTGCAAAAAACATGCTAACATTTAAATTGATAATTACATTGAATTAACATAACATATTGCTGAACTTAATGTTAACATATTGATTTTGTTAATATGTAATCTATCTGTCCTTTTAGGCAGCAGCTGTTGAGCGGCTTGAAGAAAGTAAGAACAAAATCGAAGGTCTCCTGGACTGGATATCCAACATAGGGAATGAAAACCAGAGCGGTCTGGATCAAACTGACCATATAAGCAAAGAGAATGGAAACGTGCCAGAAAAAACCTTCGACCGGGGACTGATAAAAGAGGATGACGATGCCAATGGAAACGCTTTGCAGACCACTGAAAAAGATTCTGGCAGAGAGTCCAGCGGCAAGAACGACGCCTCCTTGGACCTCGATAAGCAGTATGACAGGGTCAAGGTATAGTTGGTTTGTTGCATAAAAAGTTTGTTCCACAGTAGTTCATACTCACATATGGGGTTTTCTTTCTGAACACTGCACAAATACAAATCCAAGAGCATTACTTGAGGCAGATCATCATGGTTAAAATTGAAATTCACAATGAAATGAAGAAAATTTAGGAGTAATAATAATAAAGTCAATGAGACCCATTGCCAAACAAAGTTCAGAATTTAATTTTAGTAAATTAGAGTTAACTACATCTTGTTACCTGAAAAGGGTAGAAATTAGAATATGACGGGGCCTACCAGTAGCTTGACTTGTGGACTAAGTCCTTACCGCAGGGGTCCAAGTTCTCCGCTCTTTCTCTCCACTTTCCTGTCTCACTCGAGCTGTCCTAAATAATAAAAATATGACATTTGGCATTAGAAGATATTTATTACATAATAAATTGTAGCTACAAGTTAGGTGATATGTCAAATACTACCAATACTATCAAGCAGACTTAAAATTTGTGATTTAAGAAACAGGAAAGGAAATTAAATCTTAAAGCTGACACCACAGACCAGCCTTTTAAAGCCAGTAGACAAAAAGTATGAAATTATGTTAAAATGTTTAAAAAATGCCAATAAAACTATTACAGTATTAGTATTGTGTCCTCAAGACTTCACTGTTCCCACAGGCCCATCATCAGGAGATTCTGTCCCAGCAGCAGGATCTGATCCTGGCCACCCAGTCAGCTCAGGCTCTGCTGGACAAGAAAGCTAACATGCTGTCTCCAGAGGAGAAGGAGAAACTGCAGAAAAACATCCAGGAGCTGAAGGGGCGCTACGAGGCATCGCTGACGCAGGCTGAACAACAGATGAAGCAGGTGCAGTGTGTCCAGGAGGAGCTGAAGAAGTTCCAGAATGACTGTGAAGAGTTTGAGGGTTGGTTAGACCAAGCAGAAGGAGAGATAGAGGAGTTGGGATGCCCTGCAGGCTCCCTCAATATCCTCGGAGACAAACTCCAGCGGCAGAAAAGCTTCTCAGAAGATGTCATTTCCCACAAAGGGGACCTACGCTTCATTACCATCTCAGGACAGAAAGTCCTGGATGTGGCTAAAGCTTGTGGATTGGATGACCCTGCGGCTAAGAATGCTCCGCTGCACGTGGACACTTCAGGAACCTGTTTGGCTGTCAAGGATAAGTTGGATTCAGCAGCTAGCCGATACAAAACACTGCATTCACAGGTATTTAGTCTGCAGTTGATCAAATGAGAGGTTGTAATGGCTTATTCTTACCACTGGGTGGGAGCATTTATCTTCCTTAAAAACCCCCAAAAAGCCACGTAAAGTCTCATTAAGGTGTGACACCAAGTTCTGAAAGCAATGTCTCATGGTCAATGTTACATTCATTTATGGAGTCTGTGTACTTAATTCTGTTTTCTAAATATCTTATCACACATTCAGTATAATTTAATTTCCTTTTTTTTCAGTGCAATCAGCTTGGCAACAACCTCAAAGATGTGGTTGACAAATACAAGAAATATGACGACTCGAGCGCTGGTCTTTTGGAGTGGCTCAACGGCTCAGAGGAGGAGGCGAGAAAGCAGCAATCAGAGGCCATAGCAGCTGACCCGCAAACACTACAAAAACAGCTGGAGGAGACCAAGGCAAGGAAAACTGCAAGCCAGTGCTGTAGTGCCTAGGTCTAGTCTTGGTATCGAGTCAAACTTCATAATTGTTGTTGAAAAGCTCAGATTTATCTGGGATTGTGATCTTTTTTATTTTGATCTACATTTTTCATATTTCTACCAGGCCTTTCTTAATCTTGAAGCCAACACAAGAGTCATGAAAAAGCTTCCTTTGATCATTCTTCCCACGTAATGCGTTACATTTGAGTGAAAATGGTTTTATTACCGTTAAAGTTCATAAATGTTGGTGTTTGATTCGTGCATGCCTGAGCCAGCCTTTCATGAACTCTGTGTGAACTTTAATGGATGTTAGCTTAAATGAATAATGAATAACCCAAGTAAAGAAAAAAAAAGAATAGCTTTATTTAGAAGTGACACATGCAGAACTTTGAGCATTGACTGGATTACAAGGTCATGGCACAATAGACCTGTCTTACCATATACAGTGTTTTCACTGACTTAAGTACAACATAGTTATTTTTAGCTCTGTGTTCAAACTCAAACCCACATGTGAATAGTTTAATTCTGGTTATTTGTAGCCTACATACTCCTACAGGAGGATAAGAAACTAGGCTGCCTCTGTCAAAGCTTTTGGCTGCAGTCAGCTTGAACATTTCTTTGTAGGGAGGTAGTGACTTACAGCATAGATATGCCCAGATAAGAGACACTTGTGGGCCAAACAAGGAACACTGTACTTTTGACTTGAATGAAAAATCCCTGCAAAGAATTCAAAGCCTTTCTGTAAGTGTAACAGTCGAGGCAGGTACATCTAACTATACATGTGGAATGACTCAATGTTTCCATAGACATCAGCACTCTGTGGTTTTTATCTTCATTCCACCATCAGTAAAATGCACATCTGTACAGTACAGTATACGTGTAGACTGAAGACATGTATTTGTGTGGATACAGTTACTTTTCTCTGACCTCTTCTCACTTATTGATCCACAGGCCCTGCAAGGTCAGATGACGGGACATCAGACTGCTATTGACACACTACGCAAAACCGCTGAGTCTCTGATAACATCTGAAGGAGACCTGCTGAGCAACTCAGATGAAATTCAGGAGACAGTAGGTGAGGGACAAGATCCAAGGAGGGAGCAGATTTGGCATCGTCTATGTAATATCTGGGAATTTAGATGATTTTATGTGTCATCCTTGACACTCAAATAATAGGAATATGATTTACTACTTTAAATATGCAAGTTGAAAGATGTCAGAAAATAAGATCGATAACTTTGAAATATCCTTTGTCCAGCTTTAAGTTAATAAATCTCATAGTCCTGCAACATGTTAACTGTAAGTAGGTAGGTTGTTAAGCAAGGAGACTGTCCATTGTTCCCAAAATATCATCATACCCCAAAGTGTCCACAATTCCTTTTCTAAATTTAATTCAAGTTATCAGTATGAAATATGGCTTTTGGAGTGTCTCATTTGTATTCTTTTTCCTCAATAATTGCTTTCTTGGCTTACGCTTAAAAATGCTCTTAGATCTATGCCAAAATTATAGCCTTAGCAAACTCATGAATGCCAAATAAGTTTCTGCTGTGATTTGAAATATTTATGTGTCCCATAACAATGAGAAATTACTCAGTTTTAAACATAACCGGATTTATTTCCATTTGTTGTAGATGACATAGTTGAGCGCTATGACAACCTGTCCAAGTCTGTAAGTGATCGAAATGAGAAACTGCAGATCACCCTGACTCGCTCAATGAGTGTACAGGATGGTTTGGATGAGATGATGGGATGGATGGAGGGAGTGGAGGCCAGTGTGAAAGAGAAAGGACAAATTCCTCTGGACTCTGCATCCATTGGAGATATTCTCAGCAAAGAAGCAGTATGTATTCTTGTCATCACTTCAGCAGACCAGTTACTATATACTGTATTTATTATTAGATGCTGCTGATTCTCACTTTATTTATCTATTAAAACGTTGCTGTTGTCCATCCTGTGTTTTCTAAGGCCTTAGAACAGGACATAGCAAGTCGCCAGAGCAGCATCTCAGCCATGAAAGCCAAAGTGAAAAAGTTTGTGGAGACGGCGGATCCCTCTGCTGCTGCACTTCTGCAGTCTAAGATGGACACTCTGTCTCAGCGCTTCTCCGATGCCTGTGACAAACATAAGCAGAAAGTTTCCCAACTGGAGCAGCTGAAGGAAAAGGTGGAAGAGTTTGAGACAGTCGCAGATAAAGTTCAGCAGTTTGTTGTGAAGCGTTCACAAGATCTACATGAGACAGACGGGCCAGGGAAAACTTTCAATGAACTGTCTCAACTAATGCAGGTAAATACACTTTTATGACCATAAATGGATACATTTTTCTTTCAGTAACATTTTCATAAAATTTGTAATTGTATACCACAGAGAATGACTGAATGTTCTGATTTCACTGCAGGATACTAAAGCTGAGATGGCTGAACATGCCAGTGATTTGGAGACGCTTCAGACTCTGTCCAAGGAGCTGTCTGAAATAAGCCCTGATGGAAACACAGCCCAGATCCAGAGCAAGATAGACAATCTCTCAAACATTTTCAGCACCTTCAAAGACACTGTCAAAGAAAAGTAAGTTAAAACAGTGGAGGGAAAAAGAAGGTCTTTGTATTGCCACTTTTAACAACTAGTTATACATCCTTTTCCTTAACATCTATCCTTGCATAATGTTGGTAATGTACAGATGGATTCATGAAATGACTGATTCTTGTCTACTACAGGGAAGAGGAGGTATCATCCTGTCAGGACCAGCTGGGAGAGTTCAGATCTGCAGCTAGCGCTCTCACAAAGTGGCTGGAGCAGACCAATGAGAAAGTACCTGCTGTTCAGCAAAGCAGCAGTGAGAAAAGTCTGGAGAAGGACCTGCAGATAGTCACTGTGAGTCATGAGATAAATAAAAAGTCTAACCACACTTAAAGTGCTGGAACAGAAGCATTTGATGTCGTACTTTGCATCTGGCACAGCGGGGGAGTCTGTGTGTTTTGCAATTGATCGATGTAAGTGTGTTTTAATAGATTATAGTCCTATCCTCCCTAAACTCCCCACCATCCCAACCGGCTTTCTCTGCCAACAAATGATAGGTAGATTATATGTGTTTACACAGGACAGATCTTGTAATGAAAAATTATTTTCTTTGCAAGGTGTTGTCTCTTTGCAAGAGAAGTATATCCTGAATTTACTGTGAAAAGCAAAAAAAAAAAAAAAAAATCAAAATCTTAAATTTCTTTCTTATTTATTCTCCCATGACTTTCATCTGTTATGAGTGCCAAGCTCCTATATACAATTTTTCTGTCATCAGGGATTATTAGATGAATGGACATCCAAAGGCCCAGATGTCCAAGACCTGAACAGTACAGGATCAGCGCTATGCAGCCTTATTACCTTCCTCACATCCCCTGCCAAGACAAAGACCCCAAGCAAGTCAGGTAAACATCAGCACACTTAACCTCATTTGTTTGAATTGTTCAGTGGAATGGGAAGCATGGTGTTTGGGTGCACTTCTAAGTACTGTATAATCACTAACCATTAGCGATCATGGAAAGATCTTTTGCCAGCAGTCCCAGACAGTCTGTCCTTTTCACCAGCTTTGTCTTATGTCTTTGCATCAGCTCTTACTAATGGTGGTGGTCCAGGGAGCCATTCCTATCTAACCAATAAAGGTAATATAGTGTATATACTGCTGTGGAAATACATGGTTTGTGGTGTGCTATGTCGGTATTATGGCTGGTTTTCAAAACACTGCTATGGCTGTGGGGGCTTTATGCCAATCTAACAAGCAGTGTTTGAAACTCACTTTAACAGTATGTTCAGAATTTGAGTAACAGGCATAACAAATAAAAGACAATAAGACTTTTTTTTTATGTCCCAATGGAAAAATTAAGCCTCAATCAAACTCCATAGGGAGTGAGCTAGTTCATAGATTTCCTTTGCGATTTTTCACAAATGAACCGAGGCCCCAACATCCATTCTCCCATACAAGGAGGACATATGACATAAAATTTTTTGTTTAAATCTTTTCCAAAAAAGGTTACAAAGTGCTTCGCAAGTAGATAAAATACAATAAAACAATCATATTAAAATGAACAAATTAAGTAAGTAAATGAAGTAAAATTCACAGTGTTTAAAAAAAAAAGAAATCTCTTAGTAGAGATTCAGTTTAGGGTCCTAGACTGCAATCACCGCCTGCTGCCTGATCACCTTTAGTCACGAGTCAAAAAGCCACCACCAGCTGATCTAAGAAGGCAGCCAGGCTCATGATGAGATCAGATGAGAGCAATATACATTGGGCCTCATGTAAGAACATTTTTCGCATTCTTATCTACATATAATACCTCCCTTACTTTTGTTCCAAGACGGATTCACCGAATCCCTCATGTTTGCACAAACCTGTCGCAATTTCCTCGTTTCAACCTGATGAATGCCACCTGTTTGTGAGGAGGTGCATGTTCCTAATATTTGATAATTTCCATATTTGATGCCCCCCAAATAGCTATATAAGGCTCCAAGTTCTGGTCCACATTTCATTCTCAGAAATATCCTACGGTAGTAAAAAGAACTTTAAGTCATGCTGTCAAAAAATCCACAGATAAAAACATAACAAATTTGGCAGTTATAGCAGTGCTATAATAGGACCCAAAAATGAGAGAATATTACTGCAGCTGTCAACACTGTCATTACCAAAGAAGGAATGGTTTGACTTAAACTTAGATGCTAGAAAACATCTTACTATAGCAAAGCAGCCCATGACTGAAATGGGAGGCAATCATGGAGATTGGACAAGAGAATACATTCTGTTATAGTTTGTTAAAGCGCAGCAGAGGATGTTCACCTGGGCAGTTACCAGACTCTGAGGCTGATGTTGGACTATGAGAATACTAATCAATCGCAAAATATTAATTCTACATTCCACTTTTTCATTTCGTTAACATTTCGTTAATATTTGAACTCAAATGTAATCAAATTAAGACACTATAAAGGTGTGTTTCCCCCTGTGGATGAAGTCTCTTGTATGTGCCACTTAAAAACAAATTTTGAAGCCCAATGTCTTTTTTTTTATTGAGTTACTTATTTACTGTAGTGACTTATTGTAAAGCTTGCAGTCACAGTCATGATTTCCACAAACTCTTGAATTCCATTTGCAAGGAGTTTGTGATATTTTACTCACTCATTCTGAACATACTGTACCAGTAGGCCACTTATTAATGGTACCTCACTGTTATCATAACCTCATAATGACACTTGACTATAAACTCCTGGGAAGGAAACTTAATAGAATTATTTGATGTTCTCAGAGCTGATGGTAATTCAGCAGAACATGTCATTCGTCAATGAGGGATATGCCAGCCTCGGGGAAATGCTGAAGAGTCGCGCTGCTGAGCTGAATAGTTCGGTGCAGGAGGTCAAAGAGGCACAAAAAGAGACGGACAACATGATGAAGTGGCTGAAGGACATGAAAAAGACTGCAGCTTCCTGGAACAATGCAGCCACAGAGAAAGATTCAGTGAAAACACAGATTGAACAGCAGAAGGTACAGAAGTGTTTTAAATTGAATTATGTTCTGAAACTGTACGTAGTCCTTGCTGTTATTATTCTGCTGTGAAAGAGATAGTCATATGACTCAAGTTGGAAATTCTGGGATTCTAATTTTGTTTTTATTCTCTCAGGCATTTGAGGATGACATGAAGCAAAAGCAGGAGCAGCTTCAGAAGCTCAGAGACAAGCTCCTAAACTTGATTAAGACTCATCCAAACTCCCCCGAGGCAGAAAAATGGAAGCAGATGCTGGCAGAAATAGGTATGCACAAGGTGTTGTCTCCAGATGGCCCTGGGTAATTTATGTCACTGAATCTGTTAGAGGTATGTTGAATCCGACTTAGGAAAAAAATAATCTAATTACTGCACAGGCTTTTGAGTAAAGGCTTTTATAAAAGACATATTGATCAGCTATACTGCCAGTGTTCATCTGGTCATATACCCACCGTATAGTACATGTAGCACATGTTAACAGAATGTGAGCCTGTCTCAGTAACTGCTCTCCGCCAGTTAAATTAACACTTTTGTAGTGCCAAGTCTGCACAGTGGGAGGTTTGCAAAGAGAACAGTAGGACAGTGGATAGAAAGGTGCTGTTGTACTGACTAATGCAAACTGGTGTGACTGTTCTGCCCTCCTGCTCAGATGCTGCTTGGGCAGATGTCAGCGGCTCTGTGGAGGAGAGGAAGCAGCACCTGGAGCAGTCAAACAAGAATCTGAACATCTTCCAAACAACTGAGCTGCAGCTTGGACAGTGGCTGTCAGAGAAAGAGCTGATGATGAGTGTCCTTGGACCCCTCTCGATAGACCCCAACATGCTTAAAATGCAGAAGCAACAAGTTCAGGTAAGCATGCATGTTGTTGGAAGTAACCCGAGGCTTGAGCATCTCTTTAGAACCAGTTTTTTCTATGGTTTTGGAAAGGATGGTCATCTTGACTGATTTTTGCCCTCCAGATCCTCCAGAATGAATTCAAGAGCCGTAAACCTCAATATGAGCAACTCGAGGAAGCTGCCTCTGCCATTCTTAGCTCCTCAGGCAACCAAGACCCATCAAGTGGCAAACTGGTGAGGGAGCAGCTCGCTGCCGTCACTCAGAAGTGGCAAGGCCTTACAGAAAAGCTGGACCAGCGAGACAGCCTCATCGACCAGGCTGTGGTGAAGACGGGGCAATTCCAGGAGTTACTGAGGAGTCTCAGTCAGACCGCCTCTCAGCTGGAGACTGAGCTCACCAACCATCAGGGCCAAAGCACCCAGCCCAATGCTGTGAAGAAGCAGTTGGAGGAAGTCCATAACATCTCAGGTCAGCTGAGAGAGGAGAGGAAGAAGCTGAAGGAGGCAGAGGTCATCAACGCAGAGCTCATAGCGATGGTGACTGAGGACTATCTCAAAGCAGACTTAGCTAGGCAGCTGGAGACCGTCAGCAAGCCCTTCAAACAGCTGGAAGAGAAAGCAGGTTGGCCTTTTAACTTAACCCAATAATGTAATGTTGTAATGTTTGGACAGAAAAAAACATTCTATTTGTGCTGAGTCACAGTAAAATAGATTTGTATATATATATACAACTATCAGCCATAACATTATGGCATTAAGTTTGAGGACAAAATGTTCACTTGCTGCCTAATATATCCCACCCACTGACAGGTGGCATGATAACCAGATAATCAGTGTTATTCACGTCACCAGTCAGTGGTCATAAAGTTATGGCTGATCGGAGCATGTATATTTGATAACTTCCCAGCAGGCTTAATTGTAGTAATCACTCTTGTGGAGATTCAAATTCTGAAGACAGTTTTTTTTGCTTTTCACTCATACTCATTACTTACTAATTTTTTTATTTGGCATGAGGTTTAGTTAACTGAGACTTCCCAATAATTTATATCAGAAACGTGGAATAAAAAAATAATCTGCAGTAATATTCCCAATATCCCCAAAACTAACTAACTGCTTTCTCTGTTGTAGCGAAACGGATCGAGCAGCTCAACTCAACATTTGCCAGCTCTCAGCAGTTCCATCAAACCTCCAAAGATTTCCAGTCATGGCTGGGTGAGAAGATCCAGGATCAGTCTAAGCCACAGCCCATCTCTGCCAAAGTGGAAACCCTGCAACAAGCGTTAGAAGAGCACAGTAAACTCCAGAAGGCTCTCAGTGAACATGAGGAAGCTTATAACACAATCACTGGGGAAGGGGAGATGCTTCTGCAGAACACCGACGGTGCAGAAAAACTGGCACTACAAGGACAGCTTAGTACACTCTCTTCCAACTGGGAGGAGGTGAAGAAGAACTCTGTGGAACAGGCTGATAAACTCCAGACTGCTCTGCAGAGATCTCTGAAGTATCAGGAGCATGCAGAGAAGCTCAGCTCTTGGGTTCAAGAGTGTGAAGCTAGCGAGGGCCGAGTCAAACTCACAGTTGATCCAGTTGATGTGGAGAGCTCCATTTCTCAGGTGAAAGCTCTCCAGAAGGATGTCGACAAGCACAGAGGGATGGTGGAGCAGCTCAACGCGTCTGCAGACAGCCTTCTTGAGGTGGCCAACTTGGACACTGAATCTGTCAAAGAGGAGAAGGCTAGCATTGGCAAAAGAGTGGACAATGTGGTGGAAGGTCTGCAGAGCAAAAGGGAGTCCCTGGAGAAGATTTCACACACAGTTAAAGAATTTAATGATGCCTACAAAGAGGCAAAAGCTCAGCTTGAGGGGGCCCAGAAGCAGGTGGATGCCTATGAATCACAGGGAGCGCAGGCACACAGCAACAAGAACCTGACCAACATGAAAGCCCAACATAAGAGTTTAGAAGGAGTCCAGAACCAAGTAGAGCACCTGAAGAGCTTGGCCAAGGACCTTGTGGTAGATGTCCCAGATGCTGATGGAGTAACAGACCTCTTGCTGCAGGCTGACAGCGTGGAAAAAGACTACAGCACCCTTAACAAGAAACTAGAGGACACATGCCAAGTCTTGGAGGGTAAACTGCAGGGTATTGGGCAGTTCCAAAACAGCATCCGTGAGATGTTCACCTGTTTCACAGACCTGGATGATGAACTGGACAGCATGGCACCTGTGGATCTGGACTTGGCCACTCTTAAAGAACAGCGGGAGAGCATTCAAAGCTTTGTGTCTAAGCTGCAAGAGCTGATGGCCAACACAGCCAATGCTGGAGACAGCTGTAAGAAGATGCTAGAGACTGAAACCTCTCCTGACCTGTTGGGCCTGAAGAGAGATCTGGATGCTCTGAGTAAGCAGTGTGGTAAACTATTGGACAGGGCTAAAGGCCGAGAGGTGCAGGTGCAGAGTACTCTCACCAAGCTAGAGGAGTTGTACGGTAAACTCCACCAAGCACAAGATAAACTTTGCAGTGCTGTGGACAAGGAGGCATCCCAGGAGGCAGTCGGCATGGAGACAGACATCATCAATCAACAGCTGGAGGCCTTTAAGGTAAGGTATCCCCAATTTAACATTTATTTAAATTCTTTAGACCCAAACATGGAATTTTATTGAATTCAATTGGTGTCCAATGTAATTATAAGGTATTATGTGAAATCACAGCCGTGGTTAATGCTGGTAGCTTGCTGCATGTTACATGAATGAACCATATTAAATATTCGGGATGCAACTAACAATTACAACAATCGCTTAATTAATTTGCGGATTATTTTCCTTCATAATCGATTAATTGTTTGGCCTATTCAACATCAGAGAACATAATAAAGTAAATCAAATTCCCATCAATCAATGTTCTAGAGCACAAAGTGATATCAGATGTCTTGTTTGGTCCAACCAGCTGCCCAAAACCCAAAAATATTCCACTGACTATGATGTCAGGACAAACAAAGCAGCAGATTTTCACATTTAAGAAGCTTAAACAAGAGACTGTTAACATTTTTTGCTTTTAAAAAAATGACTAATGATAAACAATTATTAAAAAAAATTGACAAATGATTTTCTGTCAATCGACAAATTGATTAATGGACTAATCATTTTAGCTAATATATATGTAAAATGAATTACGGCTATGTGACAATTGATTAAGAGAGAGCTCTAAAATAATATGCAGACCTCTGGGGATGAAGATGAGTTTACAAATGAAAGTACATCATTTTGGCACAATGTATTGCGCAAACATAAATCAGGAATTCTTGTGCTTCTACAATTTGTTCACATATAGTAAAATTGAAAGCTAATTTGAGAAATACATTTCTTTCAAAATTAGATAATAGAAAGTGGAACATACATTTGTTTTCTTTTTAGACATAAAAGTCATTATCATTATCTTTTTTTTTTTTTTTAATGCAAAGATTGTGACCAATGTGACAGATGTCCCCTTTGGTATTCACAGCAACTGGCAGCTACTGGCATATGCTGTTTTAATTGTGACTATTAGTTTCACATATCACAATGTTAATATTACACTCATTACACAAACTTACAATTTAGTATTTTAGATGCTGTATATTTAAAAAACCTTGCACTGGGGCAGATTACAAGCAGCCTCTCCACTGAGCACACTTGCTACATTCGTGACAATCCTCTGGGGACTGCTGGTTCATTAAGGGCATCTGGTGTTAACAAAAGAGCTGCGGCCCATATGCAAGGCTGGTCCAGGAGGGATGGACCGCCACAGCCAGGTGGTCGCCAGCAGGGAGTCACTTGATTCAGTGGTCCCAATAATGAAGCTAGGCCTGCATCCTGATCTCTTCACATTGATATTGTTGACCCTTCGTCGCCTGACGCTCTAAACTTAGAGCAGCTTGGCGTTCATTTTACCATTTTGACACCAGTTGGTAAAGTGACGCTCAGCAACCATTAAAATGAAACCTTATAGTATTTAGTGCAGGGCTGAGTGTCCATTAAGGCCTGTGGTAATATGAAGTTAGATGGCTAAATGTAGTGTGATAAGGGCTTGAATGTTGTAGACACACTGCACCATTTAGCCTACCAGTTAATTTAATCACTGTGATTATATATAATTAAAAAATGCAGTCTGATCATTTAGATGAACTAGCTGCTATGTAATTTTTCGTTCATGGTTTATACTGCATGTGCACATATTGTCCAAAGGATGTTAATTATGAAAAGGTATCAGTACTCGCTAATAGTAGATTTTAGTAGTAGATTTTTTTTGTCCTGATGGTCTGTTTTCAATTTCTCTGACTCTCCGTATTGTCATATAAAATCATGGAGGCCTTTGTTAGTATCAGTGAGGGATAAAACAAGGGGTAGCCATTAGCAAGATTTATAGACAGATGCAAAATATTTTAAAAGCCTGTAAATTCCTGTGGAGTTTTCCAAAAGAGGATTAACCTATATTTAGAGGTGAAATTCTGAAACACTTCTTCATTTGCAGTATTAGACAGTATTACAATAAAACAATGTAAACACCCCTGTATAGGCAAATGACACAGATCTGTCCTAAGATGTAGGTCAAAGGATTTTTTTTTTTTTTTCAATTAAGGGGGTGCTGCACTCACGTAGGAGGGCTACATCCAAACCTCCATTTGAGTTGTGTGGATTAAAATATCACTGGGGTAAAGGGGGGTGGGGGTGTCAGTTTGTTGTGTGGAGTTTGGGTTAAAGGCCTCGCAGGGTAACTATTAAAGAAGTGATTGATTCAAATTGTTGCTGAGCAGCGTTGTCATGGTGCATGTTTTCACCCCCCGCTTTGTCTTTTCACCAGTCTGGGTTGAGAGGGCATATATACGGCCTCAGCTGCTGGTGGAAAATCCCCTTTGTACTCACTCTTACCAATACCAGAGCAATGTGTCGGAACTTGAGTTTGTTTATTTAGCTGCAGCATGAAAACATTAGATGATTGTGTCATATTCTGTTTTATATTCAGTGGATCTTGTTGCTGTAGGTAAGTGGGCTTTATTGGCAGCTGGCGAGAAAGACATAAACAGAGAAAGACAGTGCTTGGATTCGTCTCTTTCATGTGCTGTTACCATTTTAGGTCAAGTTTTGAATGAGACACGCCTGACTTCATGTGTTTACTCTTGTTTTTCACATGAGATTTGCAGGAGCTCCCGTGAGGGAGTACTGGTGTATGTATATCTTTACGTGCACCTTAAAGGGCAGCTTTCGTGACTCAACGCTACTGGGGGGGTTGGCGTGGGTGTTATTTCTCACTGTTCAGACATTACATCAGTGGCTCTTGCAATTCATAAAGGAACTTCTACCAACTGAATCACACTTTCGCTAACCCTTTTTATTGAAGTTGATGAGGGGGAAAAAGGTGTCATTGTGACGATGTACTGTAGCTTACTCACTGCCCCATAGCAATGACACACTCTTCTTAAAGTGAAACATGAAACTTCTACGGGCCAGTTGCTATACAAGTAGTGTGCACATTGTTTTGCTGTAAGGCGATTATGTTGAGTTTTCTATTCGTCAAAGGTTTCTAGTATTTGTTTCCAAAGCAGACCTACGTCTTAATTGTTAAAGCAGGCCTCGACTTAACCTAAATGGCAGAAGTCGAGTTTGAAAACAATACAGATTTGTGACAATGACGTGTCAACCCATTAATTAACAGTTTAATGTTGTTCAAGACCTCTAGTTCCTCAGCTGATCAGCAGACTTACCGGTTTTATAGTTAATACAATAGTGTCAGCATGCTTGGTTTTGCTAAAGTGCTATCTAATTCATCTTTTGATGTGATAATTTATTCTTCGTTTAAGTCATTTCTTCAAGCAAAAATTATGGTTTAAGCTTTTCAAATATGTATATCTGGTTTTCTTGATTTCCCTTGATGGTAAACTCTTTGGGTTTTGGACTGTTTTTTCAGGAAAATGGTGATTGACATTTGTCGTGTTAATAAAATATATAATCAGCACATTTAATTGATAATAAATGAATGACTTTGTGTGTTCAAGCAAGTCCAGGAAGCCCTCCTCCAAGTTTTACATAATTAGAAAACATCCAATTTTACCCTATCATGATGAATCAATGGTGAGATTTGAAAATGCTCAGATATCTTCCACATAGAGAGCACATGTTTCTCTCTGTGTCTGAATCAAATTTGGCTCTTAGTTGCGGTTGCGCTGTCGTAGAAACTCCTCTATGCCCGATTGTTTGGGGAGGCTGATGAGAGGTGAAAGTGTAAAAGCTTTTATTTGTTGTTTGATCAAAAATGTGTCCTCTTTTAAACTTTCAGCTTTAGGTCTTCAGTGCTTAAATAAAATGCAGCATTCACAATTTATGTAAAGTTCACAAAGTATTTTAAGTTATATGGCACAGTGGGGGTAAAGGGCTGCAGCAGCCAGGAAAATGACTAGAGGAATAATTTGTATTCATAAACGTATATACAAAAGCATTTAAGAAGTATCCGGGTTCCAGTGGCTGAACATCCTTTTTTAAAATCCCACTAGATCTTAACCGCTTATTTATCTCTGCCAGGGTCCTCCTTCTGTCTCCTTTCATGCGTGCGTGCGTGTGTGGACAAAGAATTGGGATTGTTCAGCTCCTTACCGAGCTACTGTGGTGTAGACAATCCAGGAAACAAAAATAAATTCCTTTCATTATCTCCTCTATCCTCCTTTCTTCTCCTACCCCGGTCACTGGACATAAAAAGTGCCTTCATGCACTTGGCAGAGCCGTCGGTGTTAAATTACCTGGGACCTGTGCCTCCCTCAGCATTCCACAGTAATTAAGAATATCTGCAGGGTCCACAGCAACCGTCCACGGGAAGGAAAAAAAGAGGGCAAAGGGAGAAAAAAGGAAAAATGTGTATCTATTTCAGCATAGTGTGATGTCATCGTAGTGGGAGCTGCTGCTGGTCTAGGTTTTTCTTTTTTTTAAATTTTCTTTGTGAAGTAAAAAAAAAACTGGTGTGTATCACTTCCCCTCCCCTCATTCCCTCAGTCACTGAAAGGAAAAAAGACGAAAAGTGAGTGATTGTGTCAGGATGCGGAAGATGGCTTAGAAGTGAAGTCATATGGGCCATGCTGACATAAGGGGGAATTAGAAAGGGAAAAAAAGGGTCATGTGTCCACCAATCAACATGTGCCGGAGCGGCTCTGAGCACAAATGGAGTTGTGGCAGATGTTGTCTGAATAATGAGCGGGGGCGGGGCATGAAACCCTCTGCCAGGAGGGTGTCTGTCATTGCAAGGGAGCGATGAGAGAGAGAGGGCAGGCTTTTTTGTTTATCCAGGAGTACCAGCTCTCCTCAGAACTGCCCACACTTTTTTGGTAGAGCCTGCTGGATATGTCTGTGGATATTTTCACTTTGCACTGAAGATTTTCCTTTGGCTCGCATTGGATGCTGCTGAGGATTTCGGGAGAAAAGAAGCACTTTGGATCAGAGGAATAGTGATTAAATTTTGGCAATGCACGGAGAAGAGCCTGGAGGAATATTTTTGGGATAGGTGACTGTATTGAAAGACTGGATTTTCATTTCTGATTCAGTATGAAGCTGCTATACAGTCCTGGGATTTTTTTTTAATATTGTTTGACATGTTTGTATTTCTAAAGCCTTTATTTTTTAAAAATCTAGATCAACTTAATTGTCCATAGTCTTTGAAAGAAAATCTCCATAAGCAACTGTTGTTTTATTTAGAAAAATAAGTGGAAATCTTTTGTATTTATTTGCTAACTTCTCATTCAAAAGAGGAAGAAAAATGATTATTTTGCACACAGTTGCTTCTCACATTGTGCTCCTTTTTGAACTACCACGTGTGCAACATATACCTCAAAGGATTTCACTACATCCTTAATCTTTTCTTTGTCGTGACTAGTAACAATTGTTTTAGCATGGGCAAACCGCTGAGCAGACCAGATTGCCTCAGACAAAACCCTTCCTGTGTGGGGAAGGGGGAGGAGGAGGACATGAACATTGATGACTGCTATGTGCCCCAGAGATCCATTTATGACACCGTCCGGCTCAATGAGCAGATAGACTCGGGCTCTAAAGGCAGCCTTTCTTCCCGACACTTCACAGGCACCCTACCTTACACTCACCGCACATTAGACCTCAGCAGCCTGTGTGGAAATGGAGCTCTCTCTGCTTCCAGTTCATTTGAGCTCCGGACCCGCAAACCTGCCATGCTGGATGAGCGTGCTGTCTTTGATGGACTTAAACTCAATGGGCATGTAATCAGGGCGACTGATACAGTGTTGCCTAAGTCACGTCTCCAGGGAGGAGAGAAGAAGGATCATCCACACCATCGGCGGTCGTGGCGGACTTTTGCCCCCACCAATTTGGGCGAGTATGCGAGCCGCAGTGGAACCTTGTGCTCAGGGAGTGTTGAGAGGCCGGGGTTGATCAATGGCAGGAGAGGGCAGAGTATGACCAGCTCACTGACATCTGAAGAGGACTCGGGTCTGTACAGCCCTACTGTGGAGAGGGAGCGACATGCTCATAGATCCAACAAAAGATCAGGCCCCGGTACAAGGAGCCTCTCGTCTTCAGAGGCAATGCATATGTCTGGGGACCTGAGAACGGGCCGATCCCTCAGCTCAGGGCAGGAGGAGTTCCCTTTCTCACCTGCGAGGGACAACCGGTCTCTTTACCACAGTAGCAGCTTGGTCCAAGAGCAGCGACAAACTGAATCTGGTGTGGTGGATCTAAATCACACGCATACCTACAGCAATGGAGAGTACAAATACTCCACAGGGAGGTTATCCTTAGGGTCAGCCTCCAGGACTCAAAACGAAAGCTCTGGGTGGCGTTCCAGGACTTTAACAGACTATGATGAGCTGTCCACTGCTGAGCTGTTAGAGGATGTGTCACCTCAGGACGACTGTGAGTTGGTTAGTGTGGTGGTGACACAGCCTGAGACACACGGAAACTCTACTGTAACTCTACCCGCAGACAGCCAGCAGGCAACAGAACCATGTACTGTGCAACAAGGAGCATCCAAATACAACATGGAGGAGCTGGAGGAGTTCCTGCAGTCTGTGGAGGCCTGTCTACCTAAAAGTTTACAGACATTCCAGCACGCAGGAGAGCAAGAGATAGAGGCCTTACTGAATGCCATCGCTGCATGTCCTGAAATGGACCCTATGGGTTATTTCTCTCCTCAGGTGCCCAAAAATATCCTCTTCCCTTACTTCCGAGTTTTGCTCATTAGCCGGTAGGGCACGTTTCACTAGATGATACAACTCTTTAGATGAGTTTTTCCTGGTTGCTGGCTTGGTGTTTTTCTTACATATCTGATTATAATAGGTTTTGCTCACTAGTTTAACCTGGAAGTCTGCATGTGTGATTGTGCACAGCTGTGCTTTTGTAGAGGCTGCTGACTGGTTAGAGAGTTGTTTATGTCAGCTGCATTTTTAACACTTAACCTGAGGTGATGTCGTGGCAATAATGTCTCTGGATTCGGGCAATTTCCTGGCATCATTTTGGACTGTTTTCAATAAAACAAATTATTTTTACTAATGGCTTTTGATATGTTTCAGAGAACGAATTGGTGTGAAGCTCAGTTAGTCAAATTATTTTCAGAAGATAAGAGTGATGATGGGAGCTATATTCTAATTAAACTGCAAATGTAGAATTGTTCAGAATAAATCAAATACTTAATTTGGACAATTTCCCACAAAATCTAATAAAACTACTGCATCATTGAACTCTCTAGTCTTAACAATTGCAACAGTAATCCAGTAGGTTTAATGAACCTTTAAATGAAACTGATGACATTGTAATTTGAGCACTTATAAAACATTTATCCTGATTTGTTCCATTTGTCTTCAGGCTTTCCAGAAAGACGACATTGATCCATTACAGACGCAGCTTCAAGACATTAACTTCCTTGGCCAGGGCCTGATCCAAACCGCCGCCAAAGGCACCAGCACCAGGAAGCTTGAGGATGACCTGGAGGAAGTCAACACAAAGTGGAATACTCTCAATAAAAAGGTTATTTGTTTTATACTACCAGTCTGACTGGTTGATCTTTGCTTGTGAATAGAGGTCTTTAGTGAAATTATAAAGAGATATTGGCAGTGTAATGAGTCATTCGTTCATACTATTTGTTATAGTGTTATCCTTTGATGTGTTAGTGGGTGCAGTTTAAGTCGGCCTTAAAACAGGTGACATCTATATTTACCATGTGGTCTGCAGATTGCTGAGCGTTCAGCCCAGCTGCACGAAGCCCTGTTGCATTGTGGGAGATTCCAGGATGCTCTGGAGTCACTGCTCAGCTGGTTGACTGACACAGAGGAGCTCATGGCCAATCAGAAACCTCCATCTGCAGAGTTCAAAGTGGTGAAGGCGCAGATACAAGAGCAGAAAGTAAGGCAGTGTCACTTGGTACAAACACATAAACACATAAAAACACAGACATAAAACACACCAGCAGTTCTATTTCAATCTTTCCACTTCAAGACTAGAAAACCAACTCAACATTATGACTTTGCCGTTCATCTTATTTAATTGACATCCATTGTTAAACATGAGTGTGGTACACAAAGCTTTTAGTTTAATGGACACTTAATTTGCGCCTGTTAGATTTACTGTTTTTCACCACCAAGCAATTCTCGTGCTGAGAGCATGTTAAAGGCGCCCAATAACTCTCGTGCTTTGTTTGCCTTTGACAGCTCTTACAGAGACTGCTGGATGACCGAAAGCCAACAGTGGAGCTGATAAAAAAAGAGGGAGGGAAGGTTGCAGAACTGGCAGAGTCTGTGGATAAGGAGAAGGTTGCAAAAGAGATCGAATGCCTGGGGCAGAGGTGGGACGCTCTGCTCAAGAAGGCTGAAAACAGGTCTGTATAAACACCTGTAATATTAAACTCCCCTCTAAACACAATGGTTTAGTACGCTTCAGAATTAAATGTTGATAATGAAAGGTTTTCCTAAGATTTCAAGCCTAATTGAATTGTTGCCTAGATTTAGATCTGGGAAAACGAATTATCTTAGTATCAAACCTCTAAATTTACTTTTACTTTCCTCCTAATGAAGCTTAAATGAATAATTTGACATTTTAGGAAACACGCTTATTTGCTTTCTTGCCCAGAATTCGATGCCACTCTGATGTGTTTTTAATAGGTTTGGCTGAAAATAAATTTGTCTGTCACTCTGTCTATTACTCTACTGCTTTTCTAATCCACTGCTGTTATTATCTGCATAAATGTGTCAGGCACAAGCAACTAGAGAGCATCTTAGTCGTCACTCAGCAGTTCTATGAGACCCTAGAGCCCCTGAGCGAGTGGCTCGCAGCTACAGAGAAACAAGTAGCCAACTCCGAACCCATTGGCACTGAGACGTCTAAACTGGAAGATCAGATCTCTCAGCATAAGGTAACATCCATCCTCTCACATCATTACCATATGTTTGGGGATGTTTTTATGACACAGATCAGTTCTGTTCAGCTGAATTCAGTTTCATTCATTTTGCTCGTTACTTTAAGTTTGTGCTTTTCATTATTTCCCATTCCGTTTTTCATTAAATTTATGTTTCATATTTTTTGTTTTATGTGTGTGTTTTCTGTTTTTGTCATATCTCCTTGGTTTGCTTCCCATCCCCTGTGGTCAGGCCTTAGAGGAGGAGATAATGAATCACAGTAAAGACCTGTTTCAGGCCGTCAGTCTGGGTCAGATGCTTAAAACTGTGAGCTCAGTGGATGATAAGGAGTTTGTTCAGTCCAGACTGGACACCACCCAGGCCAGTTACATAGAGCTCCAGGAGCGATGCAGGAGGAAAGCCGAGATGCTGCAGCAAGCTCTGGCAAATGCCCAGCTGTTTGGAGAGGACGAAGTGGCCCTCATGAACTGGCTCAACGAGGTGTACACAAGGCTGAGTGAGGTGTCCGTCGAGGACTACAATATAGATGTTCTTGAAAAGCAGCTGGCAGAACAACGGGTATACGCTCCTCCTCAGGCCAGGCATTATGTTGTCCTTTCATATAAGTTGCATCAATCATGTCTCATTTGATTTTAGTGATTTGTGTTGTCATGCATTATTTACAGTGGGAAGTTTCTTGTCACTTCCAAAGACCATTTTGTGTTTTCCTTTCAGGCACTGCAAAGTGATATTGAGCTGAGGAAGCAGAATGTTGACCAAGCCATTTGTAATGGGATGGAGCTTCTGAAGCAAACAACAGGCATGTCTGTCTTCTATCCCAGTCTTTGTAATACACATCATAAGGTTTTCTGCCTTATTTAGGAAACCTTTCAACAGTCACAAGTCTTTCATAATCTTAAATGACAAATTTAGTTGAAATCAAATTTTCAGAAAGCACTGGCAGTATCCCATCTGTCAACTTATTTAAAGAAATACTTCAACATTATCATAATGGAGTTCCCTTTCAGTTGGTTCACTCAGTACAACTTATATAGTTTGGTATGTCACACCCCCACGTGGCCTGACCTCACCGCACACTTTAGTTCGGTCCTTTCTGCTGGGTCTTTGACACGCTAGAGTGCTGGAGGTTAAACTCCGGTTCGGTGGCTGCTCTGTAGTTCTGCATGTCCCATATTATATGTGTTGTAGCGAGTGAAGTAACTGAAAAAGAATGAAATGTTATGACTATAACTTCTCTTCCCTGAAGGAGAGAAATGAGGTACACCTTTGTTGCCCTGCTGTGCATCTGGGCTCAGTGAAGAGCGGCTATAAGATTTTTTTGTTCATTTTCTTGCTGAGAGTTGTAAAACCACAATGTATTGTTTTTTAACTTTGTTTATTGTATGAAATAACAGATATAACATGTAAATTAGTGAGCTAGAGGTGCTGGTAGGTATATTATGTTGCCTTTGGACAGGAGCTAGCTGCTTCCAGTCCTTATGCTAAGCTAAGCTAACCAACTGCTCTCTGCAAGAAAGCGTATTTCCCAAAGTGTCAAACAATTCCTTTAATTGTCAGTGGGTTCATATTTGGGTGCAAAGTATGGAATTTGTTGAAATCTATTTTGAACATGCATTCATTCTTGTTTTGGCATATTATAAGTACCTATGGTATTGAAATGTATGATTTGTCTTTCAAACATCTCACATCATTAAAGTAATTCGTGCAGGATGCCGCTTTCTACAGCAGGAATAATACAATTATTGTATGATATTTTACTTTTTTTTTTCTAGGTGATGAGGTGATTGTTATCCAAGGCAAACTGGATGGAATAAAAACAAAGTATGCTGAGATCAACTCTATGAGTGACAACGTTTTGAAGAAATTGGAGCGGGTTTTGAGTCTCTCTACTAAGCTGCAACATACCCACGACGACCTGGGCTCCTGGCTAGAGAAAGCAGAGGCTGAGAGTAGCGCTTTTGCTGACCAGGAACCAGTGGGCGAGCAGCTCATTCATGCACAAAGCAGGCAGAAGGTAATAGTTTCTACTATAAAAGTTCATATTCGCCCCTAAAGAAATAAATACCAAATGTAGCTCTAACATAAAACCTCTAACACTCACTGAGCTGCTTCGTTAAACTTATTTTGATGTTTTCTTTGTGTCATGTAATCTTGCCCAGGCCTTGCTAAAGGAGACCAAAGACCAAAAACCCACAATAGACAAGCTGAATGAGTTGAGCAGTTCTCTCCTGGATCTGATCCCCTGGCACACTCGCGAGGGTCTGGACAAGCTGGTGACTGAGGATAATGAGCGGTACAGGGCGGTGTGTGACACCATCACTCAGCAGGTCGATCAGATCAACGCTGAAATACTCAAGTCACAGCAGGTAAACCCGAGAACAGTTTCTGTGTTTTTTTAAATTGCTTTTCTTGTATGTCAATTTCCATATTTTATACTTAGGAGCTGAAACATTTTCAGCAACGGAAAACTTTTTTTTGTCTGTTTCCAGTTCGAACAGGCTGCAGACACTGAACTCTCCTGGCTGACTGAAGCTGAGAGGAAGTTGCTGTCGATGGCCGAGATCAGACTGGAGCAGGACCAAACCACAGCCCAGCTCCAAGCACAGAAGGTTAGCCTGTCATTCTCTGTGTCTGTGTGTGTGTGTGTGTGTGTGTGTGTGTGTGTGTGTGTGTGTGTGTGTGTGTGTGTGTGTGTGTGTGTGTGTGTGTGTGTGTGTGTGTGGATAGACACAGGCCTCCATTTAAACAAAGTACAGTAAACACAGCGGTTTGTTTTGTAACATCCGGCCAAACTCACTCTACTGGTTTTCCAGATCTTCTCCATGGACATCATGAGACACAAAGATACGGTAGATGATATTGTGAAAACAGGAAAGGCCATCATGAACAGCAAAAACCCAGAGGAGAAAGAAACCTTGAAGGTGAAAATAATTTATTTGCGATTACAAAATGTCAGTTACTCATTCAAGAATATGCACATTAATTAAAAGGATCTTCCTGGTTTTCAATCAGGCCAAGATGCAGACTCTCTTGGAGAAGTACGGTATCGTCAGTCAGCTGAACTCAGAGCGCTGTCTGCAGCTGGAGCGAGCCCAGTCTCTGGCCAGTCAGTTCTGGGAGACCTACGAGGAGATGTGGCCGTGGCTTCAGGAAACCTTGAGCAACTTCAGCCATCTGCCTCCGCCTGCCATCGAGTACGAAACGCTCAGGCAGCAGCAAGAGGAACTTAGGGTAAGAATCCGACAGAAGCACGCGTCGAGCACGACACTCGTATTTAAGCAATGAAAAACCTAATTTGTCTCATCCTCTCCAGCAAATGCGAGAGCTGATTGCCGAGCACAAGCCCCACATTGACAAGATGAATAAGACCGGCCCTCAGTTACTTGAACTCAGCCCAGTGGAGGGAGAGCCCATCAGAGAGAAGTACACAGCTACAGACCAGCTTTACACCCAACTCAAGGCTGATGTAAAGCAGAGAGCTGCTACTCTGGATGAGGCCATCTCCAAATCCACCCAGGTGAGGAGCAGTTGTTTACTGGGTGTTTCTAAGGGAATGTTTTATTTTTCTCTTTTATTTTTTATTTATATTCCATTTTATGTCATATAAAGTTGAAAGAAATTGCTGCTTCCTGACAATGTTTGCATGGGCCCTGTCCATCCATGATAACAGAAATTTCCTTTTCTAATTATCAATCTGCCATTAAGCTAAAATTGTCTGATATAATAAAATAACTAATTAATTACAAAATCCGATGGTTCAAATAGAGATCATAAGAAGATATAACACAATTGCTTTTCTTTTACGCGATGACCATGTTTTACTCTCTAAAACTTTATGAATCATGTAAATTTTGTGTAAATTAAATACTGAAACATTTCTATCACTCTTTTTATAGACAATTTTTAAAACAATTAATATATATATATATATAAAATATAAAAATAGTAAAATCATTGACTAATTGATTAATCCACTAATTGTTGCAGCTCTACTTTGTTTACAGGTATTTATTTACAAAAGGTTATGTCTAGAAATGGATTTCACAAATTAGTTATAGAATAGTTTCTTATTATAAATACAAGAGAGCCAATCCCCATCTTTCTTTAGTGACATTACCACAGTAAATGACCTATAAATACAAACTGAAGCGTTTCCTGTCCTCGTTCTCCACCAGTTCCATGATAAAATTGACCCAATGCTGGAATCCCTGGAACGGATTGCTGAACGCCTGCGCCAGCCTCCGTCCATCTCAGTGGAGGTGGACAAGATCAAGGAGCAGATTACAGAAAACAAGGCCGTTTCCATGGACTTGGAGAAACTGCAGCCCTCTTATGAGACACTGAAGCAGCGAGGAGAGGAGATGATTGCACGATCTGAAGGAGCAGACAAGGACATATCAGCCAAAGGTACAATATCAAGTCATCTTATTTGTGAATTAATATTGTTATTCCCTTTCTTTTTGTTATTTCATTGGATCCAGTTAGAAGGGATATACCATAATAGGGCACTGGGATAATTAAAGAGCCAATAAGATGAATTGCATAATAAAAGGTCAACAGTAGGGAAAATATCCTTTAATTCTTCCCCTATCAAAACATGTGTAATCACTCTTAAAGTCCTTGGCTTAAGGTCTTAGTTTGAGTTTTGGCAAAGATTTTGTCCATTTGATTGTAAAAGCTTTCCTCCAGGTGTGGCTTTTAATGGGAATGCCAGTCTTTTTTTAGGTACAAGGAAAAATCTAAGAACCAGACAAGAGGCCAAACTGTTTCTCATTAAACCTGTAATGTGGGAGATGTGTTCCCCAGTACAAGCATGCTGATATTTCCTGTTTATATCCTATATTTAATGTTGTTAATGGATTTATTCTATACTGTATTCATTGTAATTGTCACACTTTTCAAGCTGTACAAGACAAGCTGGACCATATGGTGTTCCTCTGGAGTGACATCCAGGCCTTGCTGGAGGAGCGTGAGGCGAAGCTGCTGGATGTAATGGACCTGGCAGACAAGTTCTGGTGCGACCACTGCGCTCTCATCGTCACCATCAAAGACAGCCAGGACCTGCTGAGAGAGCTCGAGGAGCCCGGAGTCGATCCTTCAGTCGTCAAACAGCAGCAGGAGTTTGTGGAGGTCAGACAGAAGATGGAGTTATTGAATAAACCAAATGAAAACTAAAAGAGATTTCTTTGTTTTAAACGTGATTGCTTTTTATTCCTACAGGGATTTAAAGAGGAGATCGACGGGCTGCAGGAGGAGCTTGATGTGGTTCAAAACCAGGGTGCAGAGCTTATGACTGCCTGCGGGGAACCCGATAAACCTGTGATAAAGAAGAGTATTGATGAGGTAATATCTAACATTGAAAAACATCTTTACACAGACACTTTAATTGCCGATACTTCCACTGTTTTGTTTACCTGCATATGGCTTTTGGTGAAGTACTCGTGTCATTTTCCAGGTGAATTCAGCGTGGGAAAATCTCAATAAGACTTGGAAGGAGAGAGTGGAGAGACTGGAAGAAGCCATGCAGAATGCTGTGCAGTTTCAGGACGGCCTGCAGGTACTTTGTCGTATTTAATCTGAAATGAGTGACACAGTAAGATGTTTTTAAATCCTGGGATTTTCTTTTACTTTGTGCTGAAGTTTTTATTAAACTTACCACAAATCCTTATTGTAATACAGACTTTTTCATTACCGTTATTCCTTATTTGTCTTTATTGTAAAACTAATAGTACAACATACTTGTTCATCAAGATACATGCGTTTGAAAGTTAAACACACAGATATCCAGCCAGTTTTTAAGGCCTTCAGATGAAACCACAGACTGCATCGTTTTTTATTGCACTTGGTTGAAGTGATACAACATTTTATGAGAGGCCTATTAATTTTGAAACAATAAACACAAACCGCAGAGCTTTGCTATATTTGGCTCAAACTTTAACTCATTCTTCTTAGAAAGGAAGAGTCCTCGAAACAGCTGCTATATTTTACGCACTCCTTTAAAATAATAATATTCAAGTTTTAAGTTCAAGGCTCGTTTTTCCTTTTTATTGTTTGTTTACCTAATTTTTCAACCATATAGATTTACTGCAGACCAACTGTAAGATTTAGTGCCTAGCTCCACACTAAATGTGAAACGTGACTCCCTGTGTGCTAAGCTTTGTTTTCTTTCAGTAACAATGGTTTTCCACCTTGTACGCAGGGTATGTTTGACTGGGTGGATATTCTGGAGAGCAAACTGGATTTAATGTCACCTGTAGGCACAGACCTGGAAACTGTCAAGCAGCAGATTGTAGAGCTCAAGGTACAGTCTTGTATTTGTGTTTAAATGTGCAACAGCATAATATTCTTTTATGCTGAAAACATGATGATTACTTCTGTCCTGGTTTATTGATGTATTTCTTTAACTTTACACCCGTATTCACATGTACCAGCTGTGTTTATGCTGAGTGCTTTATTCATAACCTGTCCCAGTTGGCCTGCATTGTACAGGTACAAACGGTACAAAAAGAAAAAGCTTCATAAAGTAGTCCTTTGATGTACAATAAGACACATTTTGTGCTGAAAAGCCATATCTACTAGGGCCATTCTATTGTCCATAAAGTTTTGTACTTCTGTTGACTGATTGGGTGTACCACTGTATGTGCCGGTGTTTCAGGAGTTCAAAGGAGAGGCGTACCAGCTGCAGATCGAGATGGAGCGCCTGAACCACCAGGCGGGGCTCCTGCTGAAGAAGGTGACGGAGGAGGCAGATCGCTGCGCCATCCAGGAGCCAATGTCTGAGCTCAAGATGCTCTGGGACAACCTGGACGAGAAGATCATCAGCCGGCAGGTCAGGAAAGGGACACATGGAGAGGGAAAGTTTAAATAAAATGATATATCTTAAATTGAAAATACTGATATCTAGACATATACATAACTCATCTTCCGTTCCTTGTGGGCTAGAAAACTCAACAGTGGCCGTAAACAGGCCGTGGAATGTGTTGTGTCGTATGCATGTCAAGCGCTTTCACTCGCTGCAATATCTAATGGTTTAATCTGTCATTAATCCAGCATAAACTGGAGGGAGGCCTTCTGGCACTTGGCCAGTTCCAGCACGCACTGGACGAACTGCTGGCCTGGATGAGCCACACCGAGGAGCTGCTCAATGAGCAGAGGAAGGCTGGAGGAGACCCCAAAGCCATCGAGATAGAACTCGCCAAGCATCATGTACGACAACTACCACACTACATTTCATGATTTTCAGATTTATTTTCAGATCCATCCGCTCAACATCTTGCCCTTTCTGGCTGCTTTTGTCTCTTCAGGTTCTCCAAAATGATGTGTTGGCTCATAAGGCGACAGTTGAGACCGTCAATAAGGCCGGCAATGATCTGGTGGAGTCCAGCGCTGGAGAGGAAGCTTCTAGTTTGCAGAGCAAGCTGGAGAACCTGAACCAGCGGTGGAAAGCCATCCTGGAGAAGACGACGCAGAGGAAGCAACAACTGGAGAGTGCTCTGCTTCAGGTATAAAAATTATCTTCAACAGACCTAGATCTTATTTTATATTTATTTTTGTTGTGCTTATTCAATAAGCTGTGATTGATTCTTTTCTCCAACTAGTATGTCAAAGTCATAAATTCTCTTAGGAGGAGTGATTCCTATCTCTATCCGCCTCTCATTCCTTTTGCATCCTGTGGAGTTTCTATTCATAACTTTGACATTTAGTGGGGTGCTTTGATGTGAGGGGGGATATGAGAAACAGAAATATGTCCTGGATTTAGTTTTTTATTCAAGAAATGTTTCTTCAAAAACACATAATCTGTCCCATATTGAGAGGGTTTTTATAGATGAGGGTATTTATTGAAAAGTGCCAAAAAACCCAATTAAAGAAGGAATAATTTGGTAGTCAATTAAGTACAATTCAGTTTCCACAGTTAATTTAAAATAAAAACAACACTTTATTTGTATGACGTGTGATCAAAGGCTTTAATTCATTACATTTCAGGCATGTTGATTTGTACTGCAGATTGCCAGTTTTGGTAGCTAAATGAATCCAAGGAATTAATAACTCAGACATCCTCCTCTCTGAGCCATAGGTTGCTAACAATGAGTGTGTGTGACACCTTTTGTCCTGACTCAGGTTGTTTTGTGTTGCAGGCCCAAGGTTTCCATGGTGAGATAGAAGATATGCAGCAATGGCTGAAAGACACAGAACGTCAGCTGTTGGCATCAAAGGCTGTGGGAGGCTTACCAGACACGGCCCGGGAGCAGCTTAACGCCCATCTGGTATGTGTTTAACAATATGAAAGGCCGCGTACAGATGGCAGGCTTGTAAGGAGACGACTATGTCTTTTCTGTGTTTTATCTGAAGTGTGAAAATTAAATGACACTGCAAAATACACTACTTGCATCCCCCTGCAGAAGATGACAAAAAGCCTGTGTAAAAGTGTATCAAATTGATTCAGCCATGTCAGACTATAATGAATTTAGGAATGTTTTCCCTTCTTTGTTTTCCTTTTCTCTAATGGAGAAACTCAAGACACTTTCACAACAAACGCTCCCTAAAGAAGCGTCAGTAGTGACATCTTATGGAACCAAAAACAGAGGGATTACCTGAAAGAAATAACTCTTTTATCAGATTAGTAACAATATACATGCCTCTGAGAGTCTCGGCTCAGTCTTTCACCATTTTTGGGCTAGAACGTAAAAATAAAGTGCACTGACAAATTTATCATACTGCATACTCTCACATTGTTATCCAAAACTAAAGCTGTAATTTAGCCTGTCTCTCCTTGTGTCATTGTGTCTTGCAGGAGTTGTGTTCTGCCTTAGAGGCGAAGGAGGAGCTGTATCAGGAGCTGATGAACAAGGGTCACCAGCTGCTTGCCGTGACGCCCGAGGGTCCAGACAGCAACACGGAGCAGGACCTCGCCAACCTGAAGGACAAATGGGAAGCCGTGCAGGGGAAGGTTGCTGAAAGAAAGGTATGCAGTTAACGTTGCGGTGAGGATGGCGGACCAACGCTGCTCTCAGCTTTGTGATTCACAACTTCAGCTTTAAGTTTCAGTGAAAGATCGGTGACATACACTTGAGCCATGACTCTGTTGTTGTAAGCCCTTTAATCCCGGTGCCGATAATGAATGGTTTAAGGACAGAGAGCTGGCAAGGACACACAGGATGTGGTTACACTGTAGATCACAGCGGGCGAGCTGCTGTGTGAGTCATCGGAAACAATAGTGGTCTTCTGTCATGTGTTGCCATAGTGAAGAGTTGACAAGTGCAAAAAATGAATAATAGCAATTAAACTAATATTTGAGCCAAAATAAAGACTCATCACTCACCGTGTTATTCTTTGAGAAATTGTTTCCTTTGGAACAACATTTTCTCACTTTTGTGGCTACAGTAAATAAACATCATTTTACATGACAAAATATGATAAATAATTTCTCCCTCTACCGCTCTCACTCCAGATATGGAGCTCCTCATTCTGGCTGCTTGAGAATTTGCTGTAACATTTTGCTTCCTATTTACTTTGGTCCTGTTCCCAGGAATTCAAAGTCTGCTAAATCTTAGAGCGGCACAGAGTTGCAGCTGCTGGCCAAAGCTCTCTGCGGCAGTGTGACACTCCTCTAGTCTAGTGTACTCTTTTTTTTTTTTTTTTTACAAGCAGAACAGCGATTTCTAATAATAATAATAATAATAATAATAGTAATAAAACTGACTAATATACTAGTCCATATTTAGCAAGACTGTCAACATACTCCACAATATATGAGAGAAACACATTATTACTCATAACTCTCATCAGGTCTGTAATGTCATTAACATGCCATGTGATGAGCCTGTGCCAGTGGCCTCGGCTGCAGCAAATGGATGTTTTTCAGCAAGGGAGGTTTCACTCATTCAATTAAAAGCTCATCATTCCTTTTCTGCTTCACCATCCGCCTCTCCAGAGACATTAACTTCCTCTGTTTAAATAGAGGTCATGTTTGACACAGCTGAAGTGTAATTGTTTTTCCTCCTGCTTTATCTAGTGTTGTAGCAACCACACCATGTTTGTTTTCAGCATAGTATAGTGTGATACAGGTTGTAATACAAATGTTGTGTCTACAGGTGAAACTAGAGGAAGCCTTGACGCTGGCCACGGATTTCCACAACTCCCTGCAGGACTTCATCAACTGGCTAACCCAAGCAGAGCAGACACTGAACATGGTTTCCCCCGCCTCCCTCATTCTGGAGACCATCATGTTTCAGATTGATGAGCATAAGGTAATGTTTGTACAGAGGGGAGGATTACAGCCTCTGGTGTAAAATGAAATGCTGATGACAGATGAAATATACAGTTAGGGTGACAATTTAAAACAAAAAACAACACACTGTCCATTGTCCCAGAGGTGTTCAATTGATTCACATCATTTTCATTCTCATCAAACCACTCAATGACCCCTCGTGTCCTGTATGAATGCATCTGCATTTGTCATGTTTGATATTTTAGTTTTTCCCTGTTTTTCTGAAGTGTTTTTATGCAGTTCGAGCCTTTAATCCAGCTGTTATGATAGTGTGTCATTTCTTTAGCGAGTGGAAAATCCTTAATAATATTAGTATCATATACAAAAGTTTCACCATCCAAATTCAGCATTTGGCTTTGCCATCAAGCCAACAATGACTCAATGGCTCCATCTGCTTGGTCATTCAGCACAAAGTTCATTAGCACATCAATCACATGAACTGCATTACCTCCTCTGTCAACTGATATCATAATACCTGACCTGAACCTCTCCCCTCTCTGCTTTGTGCTGTTTTCATGCAGATGTTTGTGACAGAGGTGAACTCACACAGGGAACACATCATTGACCTGGACAAGACTGGAACACATTTGAAGTATTTCAGCCAGAAACAGGATGTCGTCCTGATCAAGAACCTGCTGCTCAGTGTGCAGGGCCGCTGGGAGAAGCTGGTGCAGCGGTCCGTTGAGCGAGGTCGCCTGCTGGATGACGCCAGGAAGAGGGCGAAACAGGTAATGTTGTTTGCATATTCATACTGGGTTTGAAATAGGCATTGTTTCACTGCTGTTAGGACTTTTTTATTATCATTGGAAAGCTCTGGAAATAGTATATTAAGCCTGTTTCATATTCTGTCTGCAGCTTATTATAGCATTTTCCTTAGCGTGGGCCCTCTTCTGTTTCTTGGGCTTGAAAACTTAATCATCTGAACATTTAACAGGACTCGGCAATAAATCAAGTGAAATCATACCTTTTTTTCAAAATGCTTTACACCGCGATTGTTTCTTTATCCTTCATTAGTTCAATGAAACTTGGAATAAGCTTATGGAGTGGTTGGACGAATCTGAGAAGACTCTGGACTCAGAAGTGGAAATTGCCAATGATCCGGACAAAATCAAGACGCAGCTGGCGCAGCACAAGGTGACCGAGCATCGTCTTATCACGGTTTACTGGAGAAAAGAATGAAAGTTAAAATAACCAGGGACGTTTGACGGAAATCTACAGCAGAGTTTCATTTATTTAATATAAACTTCTGCATCCAAAATTCAGAATTATGGCACAGGTCTTTATTGCACAATGTGTAATGTATGAGAGTTAAAGTCAGACAATCCCAGCAGGGAAAGCTATTTATGGGAATTTACATTATCTACAGAATGCATTAAACATGCATTAGCTTGCGACTACCCACTCCCCTCTTGTTGTTTCTGCTGTGTTATGCAGGGATGTTGTGCTAATCCATTCATAATCCCGGGATGGACCAAATGTATTAGGGGTGACCTTGCTTTTGGATACTTGTAATCTCTGTGGAGTAGTGGTTCTTGAGTTTTGACCTCTTTTTTTGTTTCCCTCCCAGAATAATGTTTTCTTAATCACAAAACACACACACACAAACACACACACACACACACACACACACACACACACACAGATTAGGATGCTGTCTGTCATGCCAACGGTAGCAGGAAGAAAATCCTCCAAGAAACAATCTACTACACTCCTACTAGCTATTGTAGGCTTGTTCATTTTCTAAATGCAGTTAAATAACCTTAATTGGTTGGATGATGGACTTTAGATGGGATGAGCTTTTTGATGACAATGTGTCTCATTCACAGGAGTTCCAAAAAGCTCTGGGCAGCAAACACTCAGTGTATGACACCACCACTCGAACAGGGCGGGCCCTGAAAGACAAGACCTCCCTTCAGGATGATAATCAGAAGCTGGACGACATGCTGAGTGAACTGAGGGATAAATGGGACACTGTTTGTGGCAAGTCAGTAGAAAGGTAAGGATACATCTTCCCACAGTTGTTTCCTCGTGAGCTATTAGTCAGTTACTTCATTCATCATTCACCGTTAATGATTTGTGCTCTCCTGCAGACAAAACAAGCTCGAGGAGGCCTTGTTGTTCTCTGGCCAGTTTACTGACGCTCTCCAGGCTCTCATTGACTGGCTGTACAGAGTGGAACCTCAGCTGGCTGAGGACCAGCCCGTACATGGAGACATAGACCTGGTTCTCAACCTGATAGACAACCACAAGGTAGAACACAACACCAGCATGACCCAGATCTCCAAGAATGTCCCACTTTGTTGATCTGTTAGTTGAACGGCAGTCTTTAGTGGCAGCATCGAAACTTCACTTTCAAAAACAAGCTGCATTCACACCGCCCTTTCCTTTCTTCGTTGATTGTTTCTTATCACAATAGAAAACAAAGGACACTTAAACCCACACCAGGGTTGGATTATCAATTCAAACAACCAAGGGACTAGCATTGTGGTACCTTTCCACTGAGAGTCCCTGTTTTCTGTCCAGCAAGGATATTTGGAAAACTGATGCTGTCACGTTTGCTAATTTCCAGTGTTATTATTAATAATAATAACTGCACTACATCAGCAGTAATTATTGATTCTGTTGCACCAACAGCTGTGACTCTGTTGAAGGTTAATGTATTATGTAATCCACAAGTAAAGTTTCCCTTTGTACTTTTTCATTGAAATCATAAGCAGCTGAAATATGCTTGAATAACTAAATCTTACTCACATCAGATACTGTGATGGCCTTGAAAGAAGCAAACCTTTTTACTGCTTCTTGTACAGTAGTACAACTAGAAAATAAAATACAAAATACAATTTTATGTTGCCTGACTGTGTCCTTCACTGCTTGGTCCCTGCAGGTTTTCCAGAAGGAGTTGGGAAAGAGGACAGTAAGCGTTCAAGCCCTCAAACGTTCAGCCAAGGAGCTGGTTGAGAGCAGCCACGATGACTCGTCCTGGGTCAAAGTCCAGATGCAGGAGCTGAGCACTCGCTGGGAGACGGTGTGCAACCTTTCGGTGTCCAAACAGGCCCGGCTGGAGCAGGCCCTGTGTCAGGTACCGTAGATCCCCTACAGACATTAGATGTAAAAGGCTAACTGACTGTGAGCCTGACTGATCTGTGTCCTCTGGTTGCAGGCTGAGGAGTTTCACTCTACTGTTCATATCCTGCTGGAATGGCTGGCTGAGGCAGAGCAGACTTTGCGTTTCCATGGCAGCCTGCCTGATGATGAGGAGGCTCTGCAGGCACTTATCGAACAACACAAGGCAAGCAGTGCAAATATTTCTGAAGTTTAACGTTATTAATACGTTTATATTTAAATTTTATAATTTGCCAGTTTGGTTTAAGGAATAAATGAAACATCCTGGTATGTTTAACAGTTAAGACCCTGATTCTGTAATTACACCGTATCATCTTCCATGCCAAAAATGCAGTGCTGTAGATATTTTTCTTAACTATGATTTCATCTCCTTGGCTTGATCCAATATTAAAACAACCTTGTGAGCAGTGCTTCATTTTTATGTTTGCTGAAAATAATCCAATTGTGTATCTAAACTCTTTTCCATTTGCTGCTTTTTAAGGAGTTCATGAAGAAACTGGAGGAAAAGCGAGTGGCCCTAAATAAAGCAACCAGTATGGGGGAGGCTATTCTGACCATCTGCCATCCAGACTCCATCACAACCATCAAACACTGGAACACCATCATTAAAGCCCGGTTTGAAGAGGTCAGTTCACAGCTGCATGCTTGCATACATGCCTTTCCGCTCCGTCATACCCACAGGTATGACAGAATCGCACAGTTTGGATCCTTCAACCTGCAACAATTAAGTTACCTTTTTTACCATGAAGATTGGTGCTGTGGATAAGCACCTATGTACACTTCTACGTGCCTCATCACACAAAATAAACTGCTCTGTCTCTATATAGTATGAGTGATGTGTGTGATGTTACCGTTACAGGTGCAGGCTTGGGCCAGGCAGCACCAGCAGCGACTGGCCACCGCCCTCACTGAGCTGTTGACCACTCAGGAGCTGCTGGAGAATCTACTGACCTGGCTGCAGTGGGCTGAGACCAACCTCAACGATAAGGACAAGGAGCCGCTGCCGCAGGAGATTGAGGAGGTCAAAAGCCTCATAGCAGAACATCAGGTAAAGTAAACTGCAGATAAAAAATAATGTTTTTCTTCAGGTGAGCAAACTTTAACCACCGTTGCTCTTATCAAAAGTGTGTTTGTAGCATCTTCTGATTATAGTAGCTGACAGTAGTAAACGTATATAAACCAAACTGGAAGCATATTTATCGCTGTCCCATGCAGGCATTCATGGAGGAAATGACCAGGAAGCAACCAGATGTTGACAAAATCACCAAGACACACAAAAGGAAGGCTGCTTTGGAGCCTCCGAACCAGTCTCAGATCCCAGTGCTCGGCAAAGGAAGACCTGGAAGTATGTATCCCACAAATACCCCTTATGGGGCGTGACCCCGAGCCATCTGGCCCGGTGTTGAGTCACTGCAGGGTGACACAACATCCTCATCTTACCCATTTTAGCACCTGGAATGATGTCATTGCTACTCTATCCTTCCTGATTACATGATGAAGGTGTTTGTCTTTCACTTACAGGAAAACGTTCTCCCACACAAACCATGTACGGGTCAGCAACACAAGCTCCCATTGAAACCAAGAACCCCCGGGTTAACCTGCTGGTCACTAAGTGGCAGCACGTGTGGCTGCTGGCGTTGGACAGAAGGAGGAAACTCAATGATGCCATGGACAGACTGGAGGAAGTAAGCTCAAACTTGCTCTCTGTATTATTGCATTCTGTAGTTTTTGTGCTTTTCTGGTTGCTCATATGAGCCTCTATGTTTTCTGTGCAGTTGAAGGAATTCGCCAACTTCGACTTTGATGTGTGGCGGAAGCGCTACATGCGCTGGATGAACCATAAAAAGTCCCGTGTCATGGACTTCTTCCGCCGCATTGACAAAGATCAAGATGGCAAGGTGACCCGACAGGAGTTTATAGAAGGCATTCTCTCCTCCAGTAAGTGTCCAGCATACAAACTCACACCTGAACAGCATGTACCAGCCAGCAAAAATGCTTATTTTGTAACGCTTGACTACTCTTCAATAGAATTCCCTACCAGTCGTCTGGAGATGAGCGCCGTGGCAGACATATTTGACAGAGACGGCGACGGCTACATTGACTACTATGAGTTCGTGGCAGCTCTTCATCCCAACAAGGATGCTTACAAACCACTAACAGATGCTGACAAAATTGAAGATGAGGTGATTCAAATGCTCATGCCCAGAATTTTTAAATCTAGACACATGTTTCGGTAATTGTGGTGCAATAAAATCATCTGTGTTTGCAGGTTACGCGTCAAGTAGCAAAATGCAAATGTCCAAAACGATTCCAAGTGGAGCAAATTGGTGCCAACAAATACCGGGTAAGCAGATTTTTAACCTGTTACACTCCACGTCTAAGTGTTAAATGTGCTGCAAAATGTGTCAATACATGCTAAAAAGTCTAACCTTTCTATATTTGTTATTGTTCCTCTCATCACCAGTTCTACCTTGGAAATCAGGTACATATGAAAGTCCTCTTTAGTTTTTTTTTTTAACCCTTCTGTTCTGTGCCTTACCAAAACCTTCTTCATTTACCATGTTTGCTTTTCCAATTAACGCTCTCGCCCAGATTCCTGGCTAATGTTTACAGACTGAAACTCAGAAGTAGGAATAAAGATCTATGGCCGTCTGATTTAACCCATAAGAAACACTGGCCTAAGATGTGTTTTCAGTCCAAATATTTTATACTAGCTGAATATGATCAGAAGATAAAATTGGACTTAAAGTGATTAATGGAAGAAGGATGAAAGGGCCCTATGTGTTTTTTAAGTTTTATAGCATTTTTCAGGTTATTAAGTTTAGTTTAAAAAAATAATACAATCCAGGTGAAAATTAGTGTAGTAAATGTTTTATATATCTGCTTTTGAGTTTCAGAAAATATAATATTTTAGTGCCAATACCATTTCAGCCCATATTTTTTTATTGGTCCACGGGCATAAATTCATCCGCTGGGCAGTTTGGAAAATAATGCTTTCTGTGTGCTTGCCTTTGGCGCTTCAGTATCATGGGAATGATTTACCTCAACATTGGCTGACATACTTTTGTGTAACTGACACTGTTTATTAATTTATTTTCATAGTCGGGAAACCTTGATGATGTCAATGAATTCTTTGCTTTTCATTTTTTACCTACTGAGTTATTATGTCTTGACCGATTGCATGTTGCAGTTTAAAAATTCATTGCTAATATGGGTTCACATGCCATATATGCTTTCTGCAGCTTGTTGGATTAAGACTAATAGTGGGAGGTGTTAGTAAGAGGGGATAGGGGCATTAGTGGTGGTTTGTGACTAGTTTGTATTGATGTTTCACACAACAATGAATTTAAATAATTCTTTTGACAGTTTGGTCTGGTTCACTGCTTACATGACTCCTTAATCGGCGATGAGACAATAGCAAACAGGGAAAATCAAAATCTTACCCCCCACCTACACGTTGCAGTTTTGGAAAGCTGTATTCTGGTAAATGGTTATTCTTAAGATGTGTCTTGTGCCTCTTTTTCCTCCAGATCATCATCACCTTTAATGTATTTGATCACTAAAATCACCAGTGGCATTAAATCATTCTGATAATCATACAAGTGCAAGATTTTTTTTGTACCAGTTGAAGAGATATCATAAGATAATAGGCACTTAAGCGGAGAGTCATCAGTGTTTGGTCATGTCTGCGTCTCACACTGTGGTGGATTAGACAGAAACTGATTTGAACCATTCCTCATGTCGTTCTCAGTGTGTCATTGGAGCTAGCTGCATTGGGTCTGCATCAGTGTCAATGCATCCTGAGTATTTTTGAGTCCTAGTTGTTAGAAAGTGCAACAAAGTGCTGGATTGCAGGAGATTGCTGTTTGTCCGCTTGATCGTGATGTGAAATTGTTTTTTTTGACAGAAAGCATGCTGTGATCGTCCCGTGTGAATTATGTTTTTGTGCTAATGTTCATGGTCACATCCAACTGGCTGTCTCCCGTCTCCCCCGTCACCTCATAAACCTCGAACCATTCACATCCATAACATGCTCAGTGTTCTTATGTTTGGTATGTGTGGTCAGTGAGATGAAGACATATTATTATATGCCAGCGCCTCCTGGTGGTGTAATAATGTGCCTTCAGTTAATGCTTTTTTCACAGGCTCAACCTGCAGCATTGACAGCAAACTGAAGCCAGACACTGTCGGAATAAAGTCCGACGTTACAGCCTGAAACCACAAACACACACACACACACACAGTTTGTGTAGCTGCTGTATATACTGTGCAGCTTTACATTACAATACAGAGCTCAAATTCAACTTGCTATAATCTGTAACAGATATCAATGTAGAGCCTGATTTCTGAATACATTTTGTGGCAGTAAAATAGCCCACTAAACTTCACAAATACTGTGATGAAGGCATCGTTTTCTAAGTTACCAGACATAATTTTTTCTGCATTTTGTTTCTAATTGGCCAAAATTATAGACACACACACTACTATATACAATATCTGCTAATATTACCTTGTCCTTTGGACCCAACAATAAATGAGTCAGGCTCAACATCAAATTATCGTACGTATGAGGTACAGGTTAATGTTAGATGTGATAAAATGAGCTCATTTAGTATTAATAAACTTGTATATAGTAATTAAGGAATAATAAAATCATATACACCAGCACACGTGAATAAAAGAAAACCAGTTGGATTGACCGTTGTGTAATTTGTGTCTTTGAGAATGAAAACTAAAAATGTATGTTTCTGTTTCATAATCCTGTTTGTGTAAATCTGTGTAACATGGAAAGGAAATCAGTCCTGAAGTGGACACAAAGCATCTTTTAGATTTATTCATGCATTAATTCAATCGAAGCTTTCCAATTCCACAAAAATCTAAATAACAAATTAATTCTTCACACCAGTCTGGTTTCCAGTGTTGCACAGCTTTTAGCCTGCAGTGAGTGAGTGCTCGTACACAGGTCAGTGCTTTCACACGTCCCCTTTCTCTGTTTTCCTACTTTTACCCCCGTCGCAGTTCGGAGACTCTCAGCAGCTTCGGCTTGTACGGATTTTACGCAGCACTGTGATGGTGCGGGTGGGAGGAGGCTGGATGGCCCTGGATGAGTTCCTGGTGAAGAACGACCCATGTCGAGGTGAGTTCAAAAGTTCACCACCAGAAGTCACAATGCAGGGCTGATTAAAAACTAAAAGAAGGAACACATCCGATTTTGTCTAGAGTGACTGGAATATTACAGCATTAATCCCGTTTTTAAATCTCTTCTGATAGGTGAACATGGTAAGATTATTTTATGAATATTTGAACAGATGCACAGTGAAAGTACTGTCTCTGAACCATTGCAGCCAAAACGGATGGTAAACAACACTGTCTAAGTACTATTTAATGGGAACTGTTAAACGTTTAGCATGAGGATTACACACGTATACACTACATTAAACAAGATTAAAGTCAGCTAATCCATTTCCAAGTGAAAATTCTGTTAGATACAAAACTACATGGTGAATATTATTAGCGTTTCATTACTTAATATAATAATTCAGAATAAGTGTGTAAAGGGATTATAAGTATTTTCTCGGTTCCAGATCCATCAAAGCCTTTGGAGAGCTTAAGAGTCTAATCCTCCGTTTGAATATAAGTGGAAGTTACAGCTGTGACTGTCTTTTCTTTCTTTCTTTTTGTGGGACTGTGCTTATGATTGAAACTTTATTTTAGAATCTTGTCAACAGTTATTTACTTTCTTCTTAAAGTCTGTTCTCGCTATCTCAACACAGAAAACAGTCACAGTAAAGAAAATCTGCGACAAAGCAGAAAGACTCAAATTACCTCTTAGAAAACAATTTAATTTGTTTGTTTTTAGAATTTATAAGGCACGAATGTTGAGAATAAGAATAGTTGGCCATAAATTAGAGAGCAAAGTACAATCTCTGATGACCAATCTGCCACCTACATAGTATAAAACCATTCAACCTGTGCCCACATCTAGTGCAAAGCTTCATGTGAACTTCTTGTTTCTGCTATCTGCTGTATTAATTATCAATTTCCTGTTTGTTTTTTCCTGCTAAACCCTTCCTTCCTCCTGCTGAACATGATATCATTTCTTCTAGTTCATCACCACGGGAGCAAAATGTTGCGCTCGGAATCAAACTCTTCAATTACTCAGTCTCCTATAGGTTGGCAAATCTCACACTTTCTCACCTTGCTCCATGAACCCACCAGTGGTATGTGTGTCTGCACATCCGAGTGTGTGCTGCTTGCGTTGGTCTCGGTGTGTACTACTGTAACTGTGAAGTGCGTGTGTATGTGTGAGCGCTCATCGTGAATGGCATCCTCATGAATCAGCTCCACTCACAATCAACTATCATTCAACTCCAGCTGGTTTTCATGCATGCAGTTGTTTGTGCGATTCACATCACCTGCTAACACTTTTTTGGAACTCGAAGCTCCGAAATTAGCTCCTTTTCTTTTCTCTCTCGGCATGTGACGAGCGGTTCTGAGCACAGCTTCTTTTTTATGCAGTTTTCAGGTTTTGCTTGACAATCAAACAAACAAACAAACAAGCATTCGAAAAACCATTTGAAAGGTTAAAGAGGATGCTTAGCTGCTGTAAAACTGTCTACCATCATCATTGAGGGGAGATGATGAGGTTTGTGTACAACAGAAGTGAAACTGTTTATTGCACTGTTTACTCTGTTTGACACTGTGGCTTTAAAACTGCATGTAAGGCAGTTTGTTTTTAACACAACTGGTGCGAGGTCTGTTTGGTTTATATTTGGAGTAGTTTATGTTTCCTTGGTTTTTGTAATTCTTCTGATTTGGGCCGTTTGGGCTTAATCTTTTCACAATTTGTTTAGCAGTCCGAGCAAACAAAGAACTATTGCTGGTTGAGAAACAAAATGTTTATTCTGCCGCTGCTGCAGCAGTAATTGGACTTCTGCTGGACGAGTGCGATTGAAACTGCATGAGTTTTGTGTTTTCATTGTTTATTCACGATTTAATTCATTTCAAATGTTGTGCTTTATTTATTTCACATTATCGTAACACTTTATTTTACAGATCTGTGTTTTACAGGTCTTTACAGGTTCCCTAATCATTTCCCAGTAATTTATTTAGAAGTTTCCTGGAAATAAATATGTAGTGCTAATTATAGGGGAAACAAAAACAAAAAATCAATACCAATTAATTCCTAGTGTAACCTACAAATACTTTTAGCTGCCAAACTCTAATTGAAATTACTAAAAAGCCAAGCACACAATTCAACATATATGAACAATAAAGCTTCTAATAATTAATTAATAATTCATATATTTTGGCTTTACATGGAGAATTTTTACCTATAATTATTACCAAATTACAGTTATTTCCAGGAAATTTCCTAGGAAATAATTGGGAATTGTTCTGAAATTAGGGACTTCAGATGGAAAATAAAGTGTTAACTCACCTCATCATCAACACGACAGTACTATTAAAGATAGTCACAGCTGTGTTTATGCAGCACGGCTCATTTTGAGTGTCGTTTTCTCAGCTAAAGGCAGGACCAACATGGAGCTGCGAGAGAAATTCATCCTCCCAGAGGGAACCACTCAGGTGATGGCCAGCTTCCGCTACCGAGGCCGGAGATCTCGGCCGTCGTCCAGAGGAGCCTCTCCCAACAGATCCACCTCCAGTCAGAGCTGTCCGGTCCCATCGCACGCAGCAGCGACCAGTACAGTGAAGGTGAGAGGCTCCACTCAACCGGGGAGAGTCAGTTATTGTCTAGCTGTCTGTCACACTGTAGATCGATCATTCCCCCCTCCATGATTCATCCTTAGTTCATTTATTTTACATTATTTGATCACGTTCTTGTTTATTTTCTTTGTGTTTCTTACATCTAGTGTTTCTTGTAGTTTTTTGATTTGTGAATCCATGTCTGTGTTTTTTGATTTGCCATTGTTCCCCAGACTCCCCAACACATAACCCGCAATTATGATAAGCCCTGGCTTACAAACAGCAAACCCTCCACTCCTCTTAAATCATCAGACTCCTTTGGGAGCCAAGGTTCATCCTCAGAGGTATAGTCATATGCATCACATGATGTGTAACGCTTCAGATTTATGACCCAACTGAAATCTACTGCTTAATTATTAAAGAGATAAAATATATATAAAGAATAATACCAGTAAGTCTATATAGAGCTCCTAATTTGTAAAAGGTGTATTTGTAAGTGGTTTATATTTCTGATTTAGTTTATTTTCAGTGTTATTCTGTCATGGAAAATAAAACAATGACAGCTCTGGTAGATGTTGGACTTACAAAAAGGTTTCCTGTTAGAGATTTCAGTTGGGTCAATAAGCTTTGACTTCTTTGATTACTAATAGGCTGAATATTTAATTCTTGTCTGACAAAAATGTCTTAATTTTAATGCCACTAGAATACTTTAACTTTAACTAACTTAATAACTTTATATGCAATCTATGCATGTATTATTGTTTATTGACTCATTTATTATGTATTTAACATGTATAATTCAAATACTAACTGCTTCTCAAAGGGATTTGCAAAAATAATGATTTTGAAAGGATTTTTCATAACATTTCAAACTAACTCAACAATATTTAGGGTGTTTTCTGGTACAATAATAATAATGTACTTCCGTTTGTGAGGACTGTTTTCTAAAACACTGTCCTTATACTCACTGTGCAGTTAAATACAATTGATTACCAGTGGAAGTAAAGTTCTGTCTTTGCAGGGTACACCAGTTCAAGGCAGCAAATTACGTCTTCCTGGGTACTTGTCAGGCAAAGGATTTCAGTCTGGTGAAGAGGGAACGTTGATCAGCGCTGCTGTACTGAAAGCTCGGACACAGACAATAGGTGGTGAGTAGAGAGCAACTCCGGTAGCTCTTCATCACTATTCATTATTTTTCCACAGAAAGTGTTTTGTTCCTGTTGTTTGGGGCAGACTTGTGTGAATCAAAGAGAATTAATGGAATAAAAACAATTTAGCCACTGTTGAAGGAAAAACACTGTTTTTATATGAAATTTTTAAATTGCAATAACCTTTTCAGGGCTTCTAAGGTTTGAATTCTAGTCTGTAGAAAATAAGGAATGAAGCATTTGAGACGTCACCCAGAGGTCACTGAAAGCCAGGAGTTCAGTTTACTGCTCCCTGCCATGTTGGCAGTCACTGAGGCCAAAGAGTCAAAATAAGGGAAGCTGCTTTGGGATGATGTGGGATGAGCACAATGGAAGTCTTGTGCTTTAGTGATTGTGATTCTTCTGCCATCACTGTGCACGTAGGTGGACAGCTATGCAGCGAGTTGAACACACTTCCATTAAAGGTTAAAGCCTTTGTAGCTTTTTAATGGAAACAGTGAAGAGTATTGATATACACCATTCTTTATTTAGCAAAGGTTTTTGGCTATCTTCCCTTGATTAGGTTGGCGTCTCAGGCTTTATATGGTTTCCTTATACACATTGTGTTAAGTCACCATAGATACTGAGTATACAAAATAACATTATGGAACCAGTACAGTAAAAAGAAAACGATAATTCACATTAGATCATTTATAACAGGTTTGCTACGTTGTCTCTTGTGCCAGGAGCAAACAAAGGATTACTGCTTCAAGATCAACATTAAGTCGCCGTTGGACGTACAACACAGTATTTAATCTAGTAAATGTACACATTAGCTTGTTAGCACTGCACTGTTTGCAGACAAATGTGTTTAATACCTCAAAGGTCACATCATAACTGTAAGAAATGATTGATAATCACCAAAAAGGGGCATTTAGAGGGCAGATAAAAGACTCTTGTCAATGTTTTAGATGTAACAGTTTCAGTTAAACTGCTGTGGAGCAACAGAGTGCTCAACTGAAACCAACTGCCAGTGGTAAAACACCTCGCTTCATTTTCTGCAGGTCATTAATTATTGTCCCTGATTTTATCTTTCTAGACTCGAGAAAAAATTCCAGCCGACCTGGAAGTAAAGCCGGGAGCAGAGGGAGCAGTCGCAGAGGAAGTGACGCTTCTGACTTTGACATCTCAGACATTCAGTCCGTGTGCTCAGACGTGTCCGAGACGGTCGGCGACTCAACCCGAGCGACGCCGCGCTCCGCTTCCCGTCAGCACGGAGGAAAACCCTCCAAGATCCCCACTCCTCAGAGAAGAACCACTCCCACGAGCAAACTGGCCAAGGGATCCAAGCGATAGTCAGTGGCCTTGAAAAACAAACAGCCCAGGAGCTAGTTGCACCCTAAACACGTAACGGACACTGGAGATATCTAACTTAAAAAAAAAAGACTGCAAATGTGTTGAGTGTTATTTAAACTGTTGCGAAGATGTAAAATATTCAGTTGAGAGGCAATATGGTTTAATATTATGTGAGAATGAAATGTCAATGGCCTTGTGTATTTGTTTTTAATGTATTTCATTTTCTGTGAAAAAATGTCAAATTGTTTTTATCGTATATTATTTTATTGATGCAAAACCTGTAGAGGTTTGACGGACACTAGAAAAAAACTGGGAATGACTACGCCGTACGGTTAACTAACATTTCTTAACACACTAATGAAGGGCAACACGCAGGATAGCGCTCTAAGAGTTACTGAATGTACTGTTATTTATGTTCGCTGATGTTTGGAGTAGATGGTGCATTATGGTACCATTTGAGGCACTGCAATTATCTATTTAAGTGCTATGATATACTGCCAACATGCATTTAAAGGGCAATGCAATATACTACAATAAACCCCAGTAAGCACTGCAGAAACCTTTGAAAAACACTATTTAAGGCAAGTAGCAGAAAAACCACGTAATCATGAAGCTTTTACGTCCTGTTTGTTTGTGAGCAGCTGCAGTCCCTTGTTTTGTTTGACCACAGCAGTGTGTGCATTGACCTTGCAGAGGTGCCACTCCATGTAGACATTCTCTTGTGCATCAATGTCAATGTATGGTTAATTTCGGTAGAGCTGAAATTGGTACTGTAACATTACTTTGTAATAAACCTGCTTGCAGAAAACCACCAGAGGCTGGTGGGGACCACAGAGTCGTCTCTGTTTTGCTCCTTTTAGCTCCCTTTGTCAACCACCCTAGCAAGCGTCACCTCCAGGGACGTCAGTGACGGTTCGGACTGAAACATCTCAACTATCACTATCATGATCACCAAAGGATGATTCCTACTTCTGTGGTCCTCTGACTTTTCCTCTAGCGCTACCATGAGGTTTACATTTTGTTTTTGTTGAAAAAACAAATACTGAAATATTTTTTTTGGCTTTTATTGCCTTTCAGAGAGCCACAAGTCAGAGCCGAACCGTTGACTGTAGGAGTCGAACCCATCGCGCTGCAGCATGGACTCCGCTACCAAGGAACCACCATTTGGGTGTTTTACTGAAATATCTCATCAACTACAGATATTCACGGTCCCTTGAGGATGAATCCTGATGGCTCTTCCTTTACTAGATAGATAGACAGATAGATAGACAGACAGACAGATAGATAGAGGCATTATTCTATTCGAGGCATCATCAGGTCAAAAGTGAAGTTTTCTTGGATACTTCTTTATGACCAAATACCTTAAAAACAAATAACATTCCCATCAGCCTGGTGTTAAGTGCTAATTAGTAAATGTTAGCCTGCTAATGAAGACAGTAAACATAATGCTAAACATCAGCATGTTGGCACTGTCATTGTTAGCATGCTGATGTTAGCACTTAGCTTGAGTACAGCCTCACTGAGCTGCTAGCGTGGCTATAAACTCTAGACTTGTTCTCATCTGTCTCTGTCTCCGTCTCCCATGTGTCTTTTCTTTCAGGCTGCTGAACTAAAGTCATTAAATGGCCTTCCAGGGTCACCACATTGCTTTATACAGGTTTAAGACAGTGGAAAGCGATGGATAAGTTACTGGACACATTAGATCAGTAGCTCTTGAATTAGTGACACTGGCTTTATGAATGAAAACACTTTTAAAGAGTTGTATCCATATATTGAAGCAGTTCCCTGCTGTCTGTAGCCGGGCTGCTCGATGCAGTGTGGTGGTTTAGATTGAAGGTGTTGTCTCCTCTGGATGGAATGTTTGCAGAGCTTCTTGTGTTTAGCTGTGACATACTACATCTTTCTCTCACTGAGACTCTGCGGAGGATAAAACACTGTCTTCAATGAACATACACTAAAACCTGTGTGACTGCTTTTTGAAGAAATTATAGACTAAGTTTGTACAAAAGGTACTTTTTTCTAACTGTGCAAGTCGATGTGTAAGGAGACGCAGTAAAATACATAAAACTTTTGTTGAGAGCTGCTTTAAACAAACTTTTGCTAAAGTATCCGCGTATTCTCCCACATTACTGTGATTTTTTGCTCTCAGTAGCTTCCACCTGCAGTAAGGTATGTTCACCTACATTTCCTTAATGTGATGACTCAGTTTGCTGGACTTGTACTGTAGGTGTAACTGACCTATGAGAAGACGTAGATCCCCTGGGGACCAAAGGTGGAGTGGAGCTCAGGGGTCAGGCTACTCTGAGACCCAGAGCATCTAGTTTGAATGATCCTACTGTTCAGCTCAAACACTGGCCCAGGGATGGCACTTTAGAGCGGGATATATCCTCACACTAGGAACTGGAACAGATCCATCTGCAGGAGCCCTGGGACTTTCTTTTTCAGGAATATGTGAGTAATGCTCTGTAATTTTCCTTTATTTGTAAAATACATTGCACGTAGGAAATTATAAACTAGGGTTTGTGTATGATATCTGGTTGCTTAGCGAATGGTTTGTAATTGTAATTAAATGTGTAATTGTGTCCACCAATGTGGTGAAATTTGTTTGCATAGATGTAGCAATTCAGTGGATACAACTTTTGATATTGTTTTTCTAGGAACATCATTGTATGATATAATATAATTATAAAACCATAGTAGTCACATTGCATAAAAGAATAATTATATAATATATATATATGATATCTGAAGGGACCTAAAAGGAACATTTTACCTCTTCCAGTTGGTTAGGCCCAGAAATCTAGCAGTTTCTTTTCTCACTCTTTCTAAATCTTTATGCTTTTATAAAATGTATGCATAGAAATGTATATTTTTTCTACAGATTTGAGTGACTGACTTCCATTTAACACCCTACTGCACATTCTACATAAAATCTGATTTACTGAATTACTGATTTATATAATTGCTGTACTACAGGCACTTATAGCCCCTGACTTCAAACAATTGAAAATGGCAGCCTACAAAGATATGCTGGTGTTTGCAGCACTCTTTGCCATCTACGGAATGACCCAGTGTCAAAAGTTGCCAAGTAAGTTTACATTTTTTCATACTTATTTAATGACTACAGCAAATTTCTCACTGCATATAAATAAAACACTGGATAATCACCTACTCAGTGGTTCTGTAGAGTTGTGTGAGGCTGGTCATACATGCTGTAAACTTATATCAAATATAATTGACAATAATCACATATTTCATATTAATTATCTGCTCTTACTATAGTTTTTTAAGTTCAACACTGTACTTCTGCACCTTGACCAGCAGATGTCAGTATTTGTCAGCTCATAGTTAATTGTTTGCCTCACAGCAGATGACCCAGTGTCATATTCCCTGCTATCAGTGCCTGTGTGGACACTAAGAGGTCAAAGAGGTCATCCTGGGGTTAAGCTATATACATGAATATTTGAATCCATACAAATGAGTCTCCCTCTTACCATGATGAATTATTTAGCACAGTGTTTTTTTCTATACAGTACAGCCTACAGTAAACCGTAGGCAGTAATGTATTTTTTTGACTTTACCAATAATCAAAGGGGGTAACTTGTTAACATGCCACAGCAGCAGGTGTCAGGATTTTCATTACTTAAGAGGTTTTGAGTTATTTTCAAGTTGAGTCATAAGATTTGTAATCAGGGTCCTTCACCAGCTTTCATCCATTTGTTTTAAGCTCACAGGAAACATCCCAGCTGTGCTGAAATCATTCAAACTGCAGCACAAAGCGTGTAGTGTTTAGAATTCAGTAGCCAAATCCACCTAAGAAAGAAAATAACAGCTTCTTCACGTTAATGAGTTTAATGAATTACCTCATTGTACCTGTGAAGAGATGGCATTATTAATGACAATGAGTAATGCAACCATAAAATAACCCCAGTGATATCAGATTTAGAAGCAGTCCAGCACCCTTGATGCTGAATCAGTCTGACGTCAAACTAAGCTCAGTGTTTTTGCTGCAAGGTTTTGATCTGCTGGAGGAGTTTCGTGTGCCTGAGTCGAGGGGAGTGAGGAGAGTGGACGGCTCTCAACCTGAAGCGGTGGCCTACCGTGTCAACCCCTCTATCCATCTACGGAAGACCATGAGGTACTAGACTGCCTGAGCGTAGTTATTCAGTGAAATTGGAAAATGATCAAAAAGTGGTTTTGGGAATCTCTCCTGGCTGCAGTGATATAGAAGAGTACTTCAAAGCGTGTCATTACACAGTGACATTACTGATGGGGGTTACAGTTGCAATAAAATGCACTTCAGATCACACACAACCACACCTCAACATGATTTGAAACTTTCACCCAGAGTGCAGCAGAACAATGCTGTTCAGTTTTAAGTTACTGAAAAGCAATTTTGCACCTGTAACCCCACCCAGCAATGATGTCACAAGGTCCTGGAGTACACCTGTACATCACTACAGCGATACAAGAAATGAGAATGTGCTTTTTTCAAATTGAAGCTTCAAATAATGGTAGTGTGTAATCAGAAGAGATGACACAGAGTCGCACAGAAATGTGTAATATATTAAGGTTGAATTTAAGTGTAACAATTAAGATGCTCTATTTCTACTTATTCATCTTCTTATAAAATAAATCCATATGTTCCTGCAAAAGCCGTTGATTGTTATTCTGTAAAGAAAGCTCTCCAAACCTTCCTCTCGTGCCACAGTGACGTGTATCCAGAAGGACTTCCGTCCGACTACTCCGTTATTGCAACATTTAAGGTGACCAAGGACACCGGCAAGAAATCCTGGGACCTGTGGCAGGTCAGTGACCCCAAGGGACGAGAGCAGGTCGGCCTGCGTTTCCAGGGTGATACGCGCTCTTTAGACTTCTTCTACACCAGCCCCCACGGGAGCCAGATGCTGAGGACCTTCCATGGTGTGGAAAAGTTGTTTGACGGAGAGTGGCACAAGTTGGCGCTGAGTGTGAAGGGCAGCCAGGTGAAGCTGCTGATAGACTGTGAAGAGGTCAGTGTGGAGTCCATTGACGAGCCGAGGCCAGTCATCCACCGAGGGTACACCTCCATTGTCAAGCGGGCTGCAGGAGATCGCTCTGTGTCTGTACGTTGACAGCTTGGATTTTTATGTATCCATAGTCATATTTCAACTCCCTTTGATTTGAACTTTAATTTCTCATATTGTCTCTCTCCAGGTGGACCTCCAGCAGATGCAGGTGTCATGTGACCCAGAGCAGGCTTATTCAGAGGGCTGCTGTGAGCTCTCCAGTGTGGTGAGTCAGCTCCTAATCAACATGGTTTCCCTCCCTCTGTTAGAGATGTGTATGTAGGTTTAAAACCGTATCACCTTTCTGTCATGGCAGTGTGGAGGGTATGCAGAGATCGGTCTAACAGCTGGAAGAGCATCTTGCAAATGTTTGCATGGACAGCCTGGCCCTCAGGGACCTCCAGGGCCAAAGGTGAATGTACCTGTACAGTGAAAACTGGAGCATACTGATAAGATAAGTTGAATCTGTATTGACATATAATTTAATTCTTCTGCAGGGTCACAGAGGTCTTCCAGGCAAAGACGGAGATCCAGGAAGACAAGGAAACTGGGTAAATAAATGTGCATTATGTCTCTCAGTGCCTTATCTTGCGCTCGATGAATAGTTGTTCTGGTGTTTACTTGAGGTATTCTAAGCATTAGCGGCATCCCCTTCTTCTTGCAGCACAATAAAGAGTTAAACTGAATTGTAGTCAAGTGACATTGTAAAAACTTCCACTCGTGAGACAGTAGTGAAGCTGTGGAAAATGGCAATCGAAGTACAACTGAGACGCGACAGGATGGAA